TGAACAAGACAGGCCAGGTCCTGTTTGCCTCGCTTATTTACAGCCCAGCAGGTGCCGACGGATCACGGTCAAGGAGGCAATTTCAGACCCTGGTCAATACTTCAACAATAATGGCAGGAAACGTGGCAAGGCTGTAACTGGGGGCAGAAGAGGAAGCAGCCGAAACCTGCGTGAGGAGAGGGAGCCACCCAAGGAAAGCTGTGGGAGGGAACGGGGTTCCAGGCTGGGGACCAGCAGAGACAAAGGCGTGGCAGGGAAGCCAAGGCCACAGGCTACGAGCGAAAGGTCTGCCTTGCAGTCCACGTCCCCATCTGTGAAACGGGCCCAGCCGATGTCCCCGCAGCATCAGAAGGCTCCAATCACGTACAGTACTCTCACAGCCCAGCCCTGTCTGCACACCCCCATCCCTGTCGCCACGGCCACCCTCCCAGGAGCAGGCAGCAAGCCCCCCCGGCACCCAGACCGCCCCTGCTCGGAAGAGCACACCCCACACACCCAGGGCCTCCTCTCGGACCGGCCTCCAGTAAGTTGTGTTTTTTTTTAAATGAAGCTGCAACAATCACCCCACAGCCGGTCTTCCCCTCCAGCACCAGTTAAAATGAACTCCAATGACTAGATTAGACTTTGAAGGTGGCCGCGGATCTCGATAATGAACCCGGAGGATGCGGTATTGACACAGGCCCCTGCGAGCCCGATGATTATTCAACAGCCTGCCGCCGCTTCCTCTGGGGTCAGGGAGCCGAACACGCAGCTGGTGGGCAAGCGTCAAACCCAGAGACGAACCGCGGGCGCTGCACCTCGGAAGGCGGGCTCCCCAAGGTCAGGGGCAGCCAGCAGCAGCCACGTGGGCCTCATGGAGACAGCCCAGCGCGGGCCCACCTCAGAGGGCCCTCCCTGGGGAGCCCCCACACACCCCAGGGCCCACGCACGTTGGGTTGTCTCTGGCCTGGGCTTGGCCCATGGGTCCTCCTCTCCTCCCTCACCCCTCAGTGCCCAGCCTCCTCGGGGGTCCCGTCCCCCAAAAGCCTCCACTGCTCTTGCCCCTCCTCCAGCTGGGTCTGGCACCCCTTGCATCTCCCCTGGGCTCCCACGGGGCCTCCTCATTCTGGCTGGCACTGACCATCCCACCGAGCTCTGTCTTCCCCGGGTCCGTCCCCCAACACCCGACATGAGGGCCTGGAAGGCAGAACGCCACCTGCCCGTCTTCCTCAGCCAGCACCCCGGCCGCGTGAGCTGCGTGAGCTGGACAGGCAGTGGCAAAGAAATGCGAATGGGGTGCAATCCTAGAACCAGAGGACGTGTTAGTGGAAAAAGCAGGTGTGTAAAGCAATGACAGTTCCCAAGACTAAACATTTGGTGGCACAGAAACTGAAGGGGACAACGCAGCCCAAAGGGGACTGAGCCTCCAGCCTACCAGGGCGACCGGCACCGAAGGTTAAGAGGGAACTCAGGTGTGGAATGCCCGTGCCTAGATCCCAACCTCTGCCTCCCTCCCCGCTGTGTGACCTTCCACAAGTCACTTAGCCTCTCTGTGCCCCTGTTCCCTCAGCTGTAAAGTGGGAATGATACCAACGCTCACCTCAGAGAGTGGTTTGAGGATAAGTAAGTCAACTCGTGCAAAGTACTAAAACCCACACCAGGTCCACATGAGTGCTCAGTATGTATAGGCTACTATTACTTCCTGGGAGAGAGAGCTCCTTGGAGTTAACACAATCCTCAGATCAACCCCTATGTCTTCAGATTTGGGCCAGAGACACAGGAGCCAGCAATACATCCCTCCAGGCTTGGAGCCCTGGGCAGCTGCATCTCACAGCCCCAGAGGGCAGTTTCTGGAGCCCGGGGGAGGGTTGGTAGACGCCCTCCCTGGGAGGAGAGCCATTCTGAGGCAAAGTTCTTACAATGACTCCATCCTGCAGGTGCTGAGCCCCAAGCACACCTGCGTGGGTGGCCCCCCACAGCCCAGACAGCAGCCCCAGCTCCAGCCCCCTCCTCGGTGCCTGGCTGGCCGTGAGGCACCGAGAAGAGACAGATGTGGGGTGGGCGGCTGTGCAGACCGGGAGGTCATTAGCAGCAGCCAGACCGAGCTGCTTCCCAGCCGGGGCGCTGGGGCGGGAGGCTTCCTCTCTATCCCCAGCAGCGGCGGAGCGCGGCTTCATTAAACATGCATGGCGATCACCTCGTTACTGTGCCCAGGGATCGTGAGTGCGGAAGGCGAGCTGCCCACACAAACTTTCCAATTTCCCTGGCGGCAGACCGGGCGCTCGCTCCCTCTGGCCCCGCTTCGAAGCCTCCCTCACCGCCCTTTCCTGCATCCATCTCCCCACACCCAGCACCTTCTGACACCCTCCGTGGTGTGCGAAGCAGGTGAAAGGCCGTGTGGAGCCCCTTTGTAAGTAAGAGTGGCCGGTCCAGAGATAATCTTAAAGCATCGCAGCCACAAGCTGGTGCCCGGTGGCCACTCGGCCCCGGGACGGCAGGGCCAGAGCTGAGATGGGGGACCCGGACCTGACTGCCCTGTGGCTGGCCAGGGGCAGAAGGCGGTGAGAGGTGGGCTGGGCCCCGTGCAGGCCCCGGTGCTTCCCACCATCAGTCTCGGGTCCTAGGGCAGCTGTGGGCAGGAGCAAGCAGCCCTGCCGGTGACGGGAGAGGAGGGCAGGCCCACAAGGCGATACGGACACATGCCCACCAACTCAGACTCCAAGGAAGCAGCTCGATTTTCCAAATAATCCACAGGCCTCAGCGACGAGGATTGAAATGAGAAATAATTACACTGCTAACTGGTGTTTGACGAGCGCCCACTTTGTATCAGGCACCGTGTGAGACAGTCCTTTGGCATCAACATTCGCCTTTGTTCCTCCGGGTAGCTCTACACGACTATCCCATTTCACAGACAAGGTAACTGAGGCCCCGGAGGCTCGGTGCCGTGTCTGGGGGTTAAGAGCTTGGCAGGGGCAGAGCTCGGTCCCATCTGAAGCAGCTGCTGGCAAACCACACACATCCAAGGAAGGGGTGCCCAGGGGACCCGAGGTGGGCGCAGCTGGGACGGGACCTCTCCCTCTTGAGGGGTGGGTCTAATTCCCCAGGCGGCAGTGCTGAGAATGCCCTCTACCCCACCTAGAACCCTGAGAGCCTGCACTGCCCCACCCCACCCCCCCCTTGGCTCCCAGCTCCCCCATGTCCACCCCCATTGGTCCTGGATACAGCAAGGGCAGCTCTGTCTCCCTCGTTAGACCGGAGGCCCCTCAAGGGCAGGAGTGTCTCCGCCTCCCACTGGTGGCCCCCAATGGCGGCACGGGGACCCCTTGCCCTGCCCGGCACTGGCCTAAGGCAGGCCGCTCTCCTCCGGGGCCAGGTCGAGCCCACGCAGGCTGCACAGGAGAAAGCAGCGAGGACACCTGGGCCTCAGGTGAGGACAGTGTGGGGACGCTCAGGGAGGGGCCGCAGCGGGGCAGGCCAAGGAGACGCTGACGAGCCCAGTCCCTACTCCTGCCAAGGGGCTTGAGACCAGGTGAGTCCAGGACCCCAAAGACCTGGGGAGAGCCAGCCTTCTTGCTCACTTTCCTCTCGGGAGGCCAAGAAGGTAAGAAAACCTTGGAGACAAAAGATGAGGTTGGAATGGGGGTAGCACGGAAGCCCCCCATAAAGCAAGCCAGGGGCTGGGAAGAGATTTGAGGGCCGCAGCTGCTCTGGGCTCCTCAGACCCAATTTGGCTCCACCCAGGAGAAAGAGGACCAAGAAATCAGGACCACGGGGGCAGCGGTCTCCCTGTCTGTTGGCTCCTTCCAGGACCCCTTCCAGAGCCCCCCCCACCTGGCCCAGCGGTGCCTAGTTGGAGTGTGGGAGGGAAGGTATTGCCCAAACAGCCCTGAGGGGTCCCAGGAGTCACTTTAGCCCCGAGCCCACTTCTCCTCAAAGAACAATAAATGCTCCAAACCTAGACCCTCTGACCAGGGCAAGGTGCTGGGCCGTGGGCCTTCCCCCCTCCCCAGCACCAGGACCCTGCTGAGCAGACACACCCCCAGCATCATCTGACTCTGCCAGAGCCAAAGGACCCTGCCCAGGAGGAAAAGACTCGTGTTCACTGACAGGCCCACACCAGCACCGGGGGCAGGAGGGCGGGGCCCGGGACCAGGGGCGGAGCCAGGTATGCACAGCAGGGAGTGCTTTGATGGGTCTCGGGGCTCACTCGCCTCCCCCTGAGCCTCGGTTCCCCATCTGCCAAGCCAGGACTGAGGTCCAGGACCTGCCCTGATCGCCCATGGTCCACTGGACAATGGCCCGACTCCACTAGCGTTCCTGCCTGGCTGCTGAGTGGCCGATCTATAGCGATCAGAGGGATGAGCCCGTGGGTGACTAAAGATGGCCCTCACAAGGAAGCTCCCCTGGGGCACCTGCTGTGCTGGTGGTCGGCCTATACCCAAAGCCCCCCTCTGGCCCCGGTGGCAGCTCATTCCAAACTGATAATAATACAAACAAAAGAAGCAACAGCCAACGTCACCGCTCAGGAAGCTGCGCCCAAGTCTCACGCCAGGCGCCCCAGGATGGGCCCTGGGGCGCAGTGAGGCAGCTTGGGTCCTGCTGCTGGTCAGTGACAGGCGGGGGGCCCAGGCTGAGCCAGGATGGGCCCCGGGGCCAGGCTCTCCACCCAAGGCCAAGGCAGGACGCAGCAGCCTCCACCTGCACGCCCCAGCACGGCTGCGTCCACACTGGCTGTCCCTCAGCGCAGCTGGGTCCTGGGCACCAGTGCGAGGACAGGCACCCGCACTGGCAGCGACAGACACAACTGAGGATTCGCATCACAGCCCGGTGTGGTCGGGACCCTCCCCGTCACAGCAGCCCCTGGGATGCATGTGGGGGCAGGGAGCAGGGACGTCCCTGCCTCCTGATGAACTCTGATCCCTGAGACACAGAGATCCGACCGCAGTGCCAGGTGGAAGGTAAGAAGGGTCAGGAGGGGTGTGCCCAGCTGATGGCCTTGTAGGCGGGGGAAAGGCCAGTACCTGAGTCTGCAAGCTGGTGGCATCCAGCACAGTGACCCGAGGCCCACAGCTGGCCCACACGGTGTCCTCCAGGCTCAGCAGAGTGCGGATGGGCCCTGGCCCCACGGTCAGGCACACGGGAGGGCTCTCCAGGTTCCAGGGAACATCTCCTGGAGAGAGAAGGAGGACGCAGGTCAGAGCCCAGTGCTCCTCAACCCCCAGGGGCCATGGCCGGCAGCAGTGGGCTCAGCCTGGCTCCCCAAGACCCCCTGGCTGGTTTCGGTGGCCCCTCTCCCTCCTCCCAGAGGGGTGCCGGCTGTTCCCATCAGCCTTCATTGATGTGCCACCCCCTGGGGGCTGTCCCCCCCCTTCTCTTCCTCTGGCTCCCCCTCCTGTTCACTCCACACACGCCTGCCTTCTCACTGGTCTGCTCGCCATTACAAAGCACTCTGTCATCTTCGTCAAAATCTCCGCCCTTCCTCTACAGAGACGCCACTGCCCCAGGTGTGGAGGGAGGAAGTCCCAAGAGGAAATCAGTCCCCAGTCCACCACCCCTGAAGCTGGAACAAACCAAGGGGCCCTGGCCTGTCACTGAGCAAGGCTCTCCCTGACCCGCCCTGAGGACACTCAGCTCCCCTGAGGACAGGCTGGAAATCTCCCCCTCGGGCAGTGATGGAGGAGATGGGCTTTTCTCCTAAGTCACACGGAACCCCAGTGGCTGCCCTGTCTTGCAGGGATGCCAGGTGGGAAAGGGGGTGGTGAGGGGGGAGTGGGGGCACACCCCGGGAAGACAGCAGCAGCAGCTGGGTCTGGAATCCCATGATGACGCAGGTGATCACCTGAGGTGCAGCTAATCACCTGCCCCATCACAGAGCCTCCTCTGAGCCACAGCTGGTCATTCAATGGGGCACAGCTGTCTGCAGGTGGGGAGGGGTCCCTAGGGTATAAGGCAGAGCCACTGCGTGGGGCGTGGCAGCAAGAGCCCGTGGTGGACAGAGCAGCCTCTGTGCCATGACCACTCCGCCAGGCCCTCCCTCTCTCTCTCTACCCTCCTGCCCCTGTAAAACAGGTTTGCCTCTCGCCCTTCCATCCTATTTAAAATCACAGACTCCCAGCTCACCTGAGAGCCAGGGAACAGGGACCCCCCAAACACACAACTAGGTCTTTCTAGCCCACGCACACCAGCAGGTGGGAAGCGGACTGGGCCGGCATCCTGGCTGTGGCCTCCAGACTCCTGCACGAACTAGACGGGGGCTTCTCTCTGGGCCTCAGTTTCCTCATCTGTAAAATGGGCAGGACCACGCCTCCACCTCACCGGATACGGCGGGGCCAACGGAAACAGGCAGAACGTCAAGCACAGGGTGGGCGCGCAGTAGGAGGCTGACAACGGCCGCCACGTGCCGTTCTGCGTCTACACAACAGGCACTACTTTCACAAATTACTTCCTAACTCCCAGCCTGTGCCTCCTGTTCTTACCCCTGTTTTACAACCGAGGAAGCAAAAACAGAGAGGGTTTCAACGGCCAGGCCACACCCCACAGCTGGGAGGCGCCTGCTGCTCACCAGCTTGTGCTGTTTGGTGTCATTTGTTACAACAGGCCGCGGAAACAGGTGTTGCCTCCATTTGACTAATGTGACGACAGAGACCAGAGAGCTGAGAACTCGCCCAAAGCCGCCCCAGAAGTGACGGGCCCAGAAGACTGAAACTCAGTGGACTCTGGCCCGAGCCATCCTCCCCAACCCCTGCCACCTTCTCAGGTTCCAAAAGCTTCCAAAGGGCTCTGGGGCCGCACCTGAGGGCAAGGAGGGGTGAATGACCACAAGATAGCCAAGCCTCTGTGAAGCAGGCACACTGGCCCCCGCCCAGAACGCCAGATCCACAAAATACAAAGCTTTGAGCGCCCCCAAGTGGTCACACATGAGTAGTGCTTGTTATGGCTAAGGTGGAGACAGCAATCTCCTCCCCAAGAAGCTGTTGGGGATACTGGGACCACACCCCAAAAACTAGTAAATGGGGCTCTGCCCTGTGGGCACAGTAGTGATGGCTACCGGGACCCCTGCAACCTCTACCTGCACTTTCCTCATGGCCATGGCTGCCTCAGGTAGGGGCAAGGGGCCGCACCCCCAAGGGTCACATGTGCCCTGAGCACAGCTCCACCTGCAGGGCTTCTCCAGGAACCTCTAAGATGTCCTGACTCCAGGACAGAAGGTTAAACTGTGGTAACACCTACATTGCCACAGCACGCACTAGGCAGTTGTCCCTGATTCAAGGGCGCACAGTGCTCCCAGAACAAAAGGCTGCCCTTTGCTGGGACTCAGTTTTCCCATCTGCACCCCAAGGGGACAGGACTCTGACCTCTAAGGTTCTTCCCAGCCCTCACGGGCCACAATCCTAACATTTTAAACACAACCGCCATAAGCTCTATGTAGGGCCAGGCCCCTGCAGCCCGCTGGGGGGTCCACCCTCCACTCTGCTTCTTGCCCTCCAGGTTTTAGCTGCGTACGCACCTGTTCCAGGACACAACTCTCTCTCACACACACACACACACCCTGCATGACAGCCCATTCGTCTGGGCCCGTCACCACTCTCTCGCTGCCAGGTGAAGGGAGAAGGAGGCCTGTCTCAGCAAAGGCACCTTCAAGAGACTGGAGCACCTCTCCCCACAGGAGAAAGCCCAGAGTTTCCCTCAGGGATCCAGACCCAGCAGAAGCCCGAGGCAGGACACAGAGGGACCCGAAGGGCAGCCGTGCCAGGTCAGAAACAAGGACAGTAGCAGCCATGTGAACAGGGGGTCACAGGCACAGTCTACACACCAGACTCCATCCTGCACACTGGTGTGGCTGATCGCACCTGGCCGTCGCACTCAGCCTGTGCGGTGCGCTGTCTTCATCCCATTTTACAGGTGAGGAAACTGAGGCTCCAAGAGATGAAGCAACAGACCCAATCTCAACCCCAGGCAGCCTGACTCCCCAGCCTGTCCCCTCAGCCACTCCATCATCCAGCTCCACCTGCAGGGGGCGCCCCTGACCCACATCCCCAGCAGCTAAGCAAGGACATTCCCACACCTTCCCCCAGGCCTGGTCATGCTCCGGTGCCTCCTCGGAGATGGGGGAGACAGGAGGGACCCAGGGAGCTCTGCTCGAACACAGGACTGGGCGGGGTCAGGGGCCACCTGGCTCCTCTCCGGGTCTGGTGTCCTGCTCAGTGCCTGGCACCTCGGGACAATGAACACACATTTTCTGAGTGAGTAAGTGACCACCAGGGCCACACCACTCTCGACCTCAGTTTCCCCACCTGCCAGCTGGAGGTTGCACTCTGACCCCCTCCAGCTCTGACAGTCCAGGACTCCAAGGGACCTGGTGCCTTGGATTCCTCAGTTGCTTCTCAGCTGCTGACTCCACAGGTCCTCTGGGACTCAGGCAAATCCCAGGTTAATATTTCTGGTCCTGCCCTCTTGCAGTGAGCCAAACCATGGTCCAGGAACGCCAGTTTTATCCGGTCTTGGTCTCAGCCAATTCAAGGCAGGATGGTAACCTCTCATCTTACACCAGCTCCAAGCCCAGAATTCAGGTCTGAATCATTCACAATCCCCAGGCCCTCCAGCCACCAGGGGGCACCAGAGGTGGGTTCTGCAGGCACCGAGCTCCTTGCTCAGCTAGGGGGTTGGAATGGAGCAGGGGTGTCTGAAGGGTATCCATGGCCTCGGAGAGTCTGGAGGAAGTCCCACAGCTCAATCCTGGGCACAGCCGATGACCCCAGTCCCAGCCAGGTGCAGCCCAGGGAAAAGGCCATGGAGAGGACCCCCACCCCAATGCATCATGTCCTGAGAGCCTCCCTTCCCGCCCCGGCCACATCTGCAGAACACCACAGGACGGGGCAGCACCCGGCAAGGCCTCTCCCAGAGGCCTCTCTGGCCAGAGCCAACCAGAGGCACAGGGGTGAACTCAGGAGGAGAGGGACCCGGGCTCACCTGCCCAGCTGTCCGTGGCTGCAGCAGCTTCCCACCCGGTCTCCCCACCTCCGCTCCTGCCCACCGGCCAGAGGACACACAATGCTCAGCCACTTCCAACACCACCCTCTACTCCCCATCGACTGAGACAATCCCAAGGTCCACAGGACACAGCGTCTGCCCCCAGACCTTGCCTCTTGCCACTTCGCCCTCTGGTTGCTGTCTGGCAAGACGGCCTCCCCGCTGGCTTCCGCCACCAGACCAGCTTCCCCTGCCTCCAGGACTTTGCACACGCTGATCCCTCTGCTGAGAGCACCATTCCCTCTGGCCCTCACGTGCCCATCCCCTTCTCCTTCAGGACTCAGGTCCGGGTCCTGCTCCCTACAGAGGCCTTTGCTGACCAGCCCACCTCATGCCCAGAAGGGTCGGACCCTCATCTGACACCCTGCTCCTCCCTTAGGGACCCAGCACGAGACATAACTGTGAGCACCCTGCTCGCTCACTTGACCAATTCTGTCTCCCTCTGTAAACTCTGTGAGGGCGGGGTCACGTCTGTTTCACTGGCCACCGCATCCACGGTGCATAGTAGGTGCTCAGTAAACAGCTGGTGGACAAATGTTGGCAAGGCGGGAAAGGCACCTCAACCTTCCCCTCCAGGCCAGACGGCTGCCAGCTCTGCTCAGAGAAGCTAAGGCCCCCTTGCACCTGAGAGGGGTCCAGTCCCAAATTAGGCCGGGGTCAGGTCTCTGCTCACCCCTGAGACTCTGGGGAGTCCCTTCCCACCTGGAAAACGAGGGTGCGGAATTCAGTGGTGCTCAATGGCCCTTCTAACAAACTGCCAGGCCCAACCCCAGACTGAAAGCCAGTAATTAGATCCCAAACCCCATGGACTGAAATGTGTCCCCTAAAAAATTCATATGCCAAAGTTCTAACCCCCAGGACCTCAGCATGTGACCTTATTGGGAGACAGGGTCGTTGCAGATATAACTAGTTAAGAGGAAGTCGAACTAGAGCAGGGTGAACCCCTAGTCCGACGTCACGGGTGTTGTTATAAAACAGCAGCCCCACAAGCATACACTCACCTCCCCTCTTCCCAACCTGTGCACCCAAAATGATGAGTCAGGAACCAGGAGGCAAAGGACCATAGGCAGCCCCTCCCGAGGACCAGTGGGGCCAGGGTGGGCCTCGGCGTGGCTCACAGTGTTCTCCGCAGTGGGGGCCCCGGGGCAGAGCCCCCCCCCCAGAAGCCCTCATCTAATCTCCAAAGATCTCAGCTGATGGTTGCATTCACATGCACGCTCTGACAGTGAGAGCTTTTTTCCCCTCCCTCTTCCCCCTTTAATTAAAAACTATAAATGCCTTATCAAAAGCTAATTAAAAATACCAACACAGTGCCAAGTGGCGAAAAAATAGCTCAGTACGAATACCCGTTTATAACCCTGCAACAGGCTGTGATGACGCAGCAATTAGAGGCTCGTGGGAGGGACAGGGAGGGAGGGAGCACCTGGCGGCCACAGCGCTTCAGCCCCACCAGCCCTCTCCCAGGGGTACCAGGGCACCAGGAGAGCTGCCCCCTCCGCCCAGCCCTCATCATCCTCAAGGGACAAGGGACCACAGCACCTGGGAGGCTGTGGACAAGCCACATCTCTTCCCTTGTCTCGGTGTCGGTCTGTAAAGAGGAGGCAATTCTCAAGGGCTATGGTGACAATTAAGATAATGCGCGAACATTAAGCCCTTTGCCGGGTTTCTAGAACACAGCAGCTCAAACGCGGTTCACCCTGCCTTGCAGACATCACCATCGGGGCCCTTGATGGCTGGACAACATAACGGAGACCAAAACGCTGGGCTCCCCTGGGCACTCACTGCCGGGCCCTGTGCATTGCCCTCACCGGGCTGTTCAGCCTTCCGGTGCCCACAAGCGGCAGGTTCCACTATTATTCCCGTTTTAGAGACAAAGAGACAGGGTGTGAGGAGAAGCCACTCACTGATGGTGACAGCTGCCACCAAGGCAGAGCCCGGACAGGAAGCCAGGCCTGTCTGAGCCCAGAATCCGCTGCTCTCATCCTGCCAACGGGCTGAGCTGCCTGTGCAGTCGTGAGCACCCCATTCCTGCAGGGACCCCGATGGGGACCAGGGACCTCCAACCCCCCAGCTCTGAGCTGCCTCCTCGGCCTGCCTCCCTCAACCACTCTGGTGCGGAATCTGGTTCCCGGTCAGGGCCCGGGGCCGCCCCCACCCCCGGGGCCGCCCCAGCCCCACATCCTCACCGCTGGTCCGAGGGTAGGCGGCGAGGGTCCCGTCCTGCAGGCCGGCCAACAGGTGGAAGGGGCTGTGCCGCAGGCAGAGCACGGGCTGCAGGCCGGGGCTCCTGCAGGTCGCCAGGCACTGGGTGCCCGTGTCCACGCTGCTGTAGACCAGGATGCTGTGGGGAGAGGCCCACGCGGCTCACTTAGCCCCCACACGCCCTCCAGAAAGAAGGGTTGGGGGCTCCCTCCTGCTCACCAGGTCCCCTGCAGCGTGAGCAGGCCTCTGCTCCACGTTTGGGAGGCTCAGACTTTCCCTCAAGGGGCCTTGTGAGGGAATGTGCCTCCCTGGGCTCTGTCTTGTGGAGGACTCGGTGGGGGGTGCGGGGGAGGCCCCAGAAGCAGCACAATGAAGGTGCCGACCTGAGTGCGAGTCCAGCCAAGCTGCCTTCCACCAGATCAGCCCCAGTCTGCTGAGCCTGAGTCCTCTCCAAAACCTAGGGCGAAGGCGCCCACCTCACAGCCACAGAGAGGAATGAGGCCGGCAGAAAAGGCCACGCACTGCGTGATTCCATGTCTGTGAAATGTGTGCACACACGAGTCCACCGGGGCGGGAAGCAGAGGAGTGGTTCCCAGGGCGTGAGGGCCACAGGAGATCGGGGTGACTGCTCAGTGCAGACAGAGGCTCGCTCACGCCAGCCCTCCCCCACTGCCCGGGGAGGAGCCAGCACGCGGGAAGCAGCTCCCAAGGGGTCTCGGTTAAGTGCCACGGATTCCTGACACTCTGGCTCCCACGCTGGGTGACCCTGGTCCCCATCTGCCTTCTCAGAACCAGGAGTGGAAAACGTGGGTGGGCAACCAGCTGACCAAAACAGCCCCCGCCCCGCCCCGCCCGCCCAGGCCCGCCCCAGCCGGCCCCTCACCTGCCATCCTGGAGCCCCAGGCAGATGGTCGGGTGCGCCACAGCCGAGGGGTCAGCGGCCGTGTGGCCCTCATCTCCGTCTCTGTCGCCACTCTCCCCCTCCTCCGGCTCCGGAATGTACTCCATGCAGAGCACGGGGGCCGCCAGTGGGAAGGACTTGACCGTGCGGGGCGAGGGCCGGTTCAGGGAGAAGATCTCCACCTGGCCTCCTGCGCCCTCTTGCCCGCCCCCGACCTGAGGCGGAGACCCACAGAGGCTGTCAGGGGAGCCCGTAGAGCAGAGGCGGAGCTCTACTCTCATCCCCCGCCTCCACCAGCGACCTGCCCGAGACTCCTGCCTGCCACCAATAACTAACAGGAGCAGCCCCCCTCCTGCCCACATGCATCCTTCTGTCACTGAAGGTCACTTGTCCCAGCGTCCATGGCAGCAAGTTAGATTCAGGGCCCATAGGGAACCAGGTAAGGAGCTAAGGTGGACTAAATACCAACCAACTTTCTATTTCCTTGTCTTTAGGGTAAATTTCAATCAACAAATAGTGAACATACACTCTGCCCTTCTAAAACATCCTTCTCTGCCTGCTTACTGTTTTACTTCAGTGTCTGGCACACGGCAGGTACTTAATATATACTGGCTGAACGGTTACAGGAGTGGGTGAGTGGATGAGTAGATGGATGGACGGATAATGGAAGGAAAAAAGGACAGAAGGAAGGCTAGATGGATAGGTGGATAAATGGATGAATGAGTAGATGGATAAATGGATGGATGGATAGACAAATGAAGTAAGAAAGGAAAGAAGGCTATATGGATGGATGGATGACTAGATGGACAAATGGATGAGTGAATGGATGCATGGATGGTGGACGGATGCATGGATACATGGATGGATGGATGGATGGATGGTGGACGGATGCATGGATGGGTGGATGGATGGATGGTGGATGGATGGTGGACGGATGCATGGATGGGTGGTGGATGGATGGGTGTGTGGTGGATGGATACATGGGTGGGTGGATGGCTGGAGGGCTACGCCACATGCTAGACATTGGAGAAACAGTGAAGAACAAATGACCCTCAGGGGGGACATTCAGGCTGGACTCTGAAGGGTAAGGCAGAGTGCCCGGAGACAGGAACAAGCAGGGGAGTTAGAGGACAGCCAGAGGGGTGGTGGAGCTTCGCCAGGAAGCCTGAGGGCAGCAAGGTGGGCTGGGATCTGCGAGAGACGGCGATGACCAGCCCTGACTTCCGACCCCGGGGGGGAGGCCCCGTCCTACGGCCATTTGCAAGAGTCATGCTCACTTATTTGTCCCCTGGTTATCCAGGGACTTATTCATCCCCAGTAAGGCTGCCAACTCCAAGCACAGAGCCTGGGCAGGTGTCCCCAGAAAGACCTTGCTGGGTAGAGTGTGCAGAACAGGGGCCAGCAGGCAGGTGGCTCTTTCCAGCAGCTCCCTGCCAGGTGCCACTTTCCCCATTCCTGTCCTGAGGCTAAACTCCTGGCTGGGGACAGGGGTTACTCACCCAGAGGTAGCCCTGTGGAAGGGAGGTGCTGACTGCCGAGAAGCCCAGCAGGGGGCAGCTGACAGGACTGTGGACCAGCGCCCCAAGCTGTGAAGACAGAAAGGACACATGCAGCTTTCCGTGTCGGGGTGCCCGAGAGGCCAAGGTCTGGCTCCACCACCTACAGGGGTCGGGGGTCGCTATACCCACAGGTTCCTGGGCCCCATTCAGGCCCCAAATGAGAACCCCTGAGCAGGGGCCGGGAAAGTGACAGGTTTTGCAGGACCTCTGGGAAGCTTCTGTGCACTCGCATTGAACCACTGCTTGCCCAGAACCTTCTGGCTAGGAGGGGCCTGGACGATACTCTGGGACCCCCAGGGATCTTTCAAACTGACCAGCTTCCAGTTAAAATAGGTTGAGAAGCACTAACACTCACCCCACCCTCCTTTATTTCACTGGTGGGGACAATGGAGTCCACAGATAACACATCTGTGGCCCTGAGGCCACCAGGAAGGTGAATGACAGGGCCTGGCCTGTGCCCACCTCCCTCCCCAGCCTTCGGGCAGGACTCCCAAGAGGCACAGTGGGTGGAGGGATCCCAGAGCCACTCAGCAGACGAGCCACCGGGACAGAGGGCTGGGTGGCTAGTGCAGCCTGCCGACGGGGGTTGGGGGCTCTGTTTGTAGTGAGTGTCACCAAGAGTCACCGGCTGCTGGCTCTTCTGGAACTGCTTTCCCCAACATCCATGCCAAGTGGCTCTGGGGCATTTGCTGAGCTCAACCCTGCCCATCTGTCTCTGACCAGGCCGGCAACAGAAAGAGGTGGCCTGGCCCTTTCACGGGCTTTGCTGGAAGCCCTGGGCGGATGGCCAGGGCAGGAGGCAGAGGGTTGACTGCTCGGAGGGGCCAGTTGAGGAATGAGGCCACCACCAGACCCTTTGCCAAGCAGGTGCTGCCCTCTGCTGGTGCCAAAGGCCCAGGCCAGCCCCAGCCTTGCTGGAATATTCGAAAAAATTTCTAATGGCCAAGGGTGAGGGGGCCCAAAGAGGTCACAGCTTCCAGCCTCCAGCCCCCCACTCAGGAGTCAGAGACCTTGAAGTTCAGGGCAAGGGACAGGACTGGCTCCAGGTCACAGAGTAAGTCAGTGGCAAAGTCAGGGCCCAGTGTCTCTTCTGGTTGAATTCCGCCCAGAGGCCACACTGGAGGCCTCGGGGTCCCTCCTCACCCCAGCTGGCTGCCAGCCTTCTGGGCACCCCAGACCCCTGCTCCCCATACTCTGCTTCTTGGCCACATTCAGCTGGACGCCCAGCCCTTTCTGCCAGGCTGCGCCTGTCCTCCCAGGTAGGGAGGGGGTGAATGCAGCCCTGGCTCTGGCATTCCCATGGCAACTCCAGCAGCCCTGATGTCAACAGTTCCCAGGTCCAACACGACGGTTAAAACTGGAATGGCTACTGGACCCAGAGTCCCGTCCGTGCCAGGGGGTGGACTCCCCCAAATGCATGTGCCCACACAGCAGAGAGGGCAGCAGCCCGAGGCTGGGGAAAGGAGCAGGCTCTGGAGGCAACTCAGCTGCCACGGGCGGGGGGACCCAGCAAACGGCTCTCGTGGTCACGGAGACTAGAGACGCGGGTGTGCAGCACGTGGCGCAGGCGGGAGCCCGGCAGCCACCGCTTTCCCCGGACTCTGTGGGGCATCCTAGCACGTTACCTGCAATGACTCGCTCACCTGGCACAGTGACACCAAGGGGAGCGACTGTTACAGATGAGCGGCTGTGACAGTCAGGAGACAGGGACCCCATGCACTCACAGAGGGTGACAGGCAGGACAGAAGCCACTCAGCTAGCCCGCCGACTCCTCAGCCATCCCGGCTTCGGCCGCAAGGCCCCTCAACCCCACCCCACCCCCATGCTCGCCCTCCCACTTCCCCAGGTGCTTGCACAGTAAAGCGCCCCAGAGCAGGCCCTACCCCCCCCCAGCTTCCCCAGGCCCCTGACCCCAAGCAGGCCTCTTGGCTGGACCTCAGCCCCCAGGGAGATGGGTCTGTGATGGGCCCTCCCCTTGTCTTCCAGCAGCAGGCCCCCACTGGGATGGAGCGGGGGGTCCAATGAGAACCCCCGACACCTCAGGAGTCAAGGCCACTGGAAATGCCCCAAAACAAACACCAGTGGCTCTTCCCTCCCGGGGACCAGAGTGTCCTTGGACATCCGCTTCTTGAACTCAGGGCGGGCCAGGCAGCAGGCGCGTGTGACACGGATAGTGTCGTTCAACCTCATAGAACCCGGTGGGGGAGGCTCTGCAGCCACCTCAGTTTGTGCACTGAACGCGCAGCCGTGACTCCGAGGGCCGGAGCAGCCCTCCGCCTGTCATCGGACAGCTGGGATTTGAACCCGGGCAGGTGGCTCCTGGCAATGGCCTCCCCCTGCCCCCAACCAGGTCCCTCAAGTCAGAGGGCCTGGGCGGGGCCCAGCACGGGCACCAGTCACCCATCCGCACTGAAAAGAGAAATGCTCTTCCCCTGGCCCCCATGTCCCTGTTCCCTTGAGGGGAGATCCATCGAGCACCCTTGGCCAGCTGGCTGGTCACAAGCGCTGATTACGGTGGCACTGGGGGCGGGTTGGGGCACTGAGTCTTCCGTGGGGACAGACTCAGCCTCCAGCTCCCGTGAGGCCGGCCAAGGAGCCAAGTGGGAGTCCTGGGCCCCTGGACCTGGGGAGAGGCAGTGGGAGGGAGGGAGGGGCAGGTGGCGGCCAGCACGCTCAACTTTCTGAAGTAACGAACAAGGCACCAGCACAGGGCTGATCACAGGGCGTGTCCGTCCGTCCATCCGTCCGTACATCCAGGCCGGGAGGCAGGCACAGGCGCTGTGATGGTGTCCTGGGGCCCAGCTAACGGGGACATGCACGCCCTGGCAGGTCCCTCAGGAGCTCCACAGGCGCATTCCCCTGGGCATCTCGTGGGCAGTTCCACAGGGCAGGGGTGGGGGTGCTTCCAGCCTGCACAGCCCGGCCCCAAGAGCTCTGAATGGAGAGCCTCTGGGGCCCTTCTCCCCCAGCTTCAAAGCAGCAGGTGGCCCCACACCTGGGTGGGGCTTTCTTCTGCCCTAGAGGTGTGGCCTGTGTGTGACTCTGCCCCTCGAGGGGTGACCTGTCAGGGTACCACCTAAGTAAGTCCTATAGTCCTTGGCAGAAGAGGCCCAGGATGGAAGGGAGGTGGAGACCACTCCCCATCCCACCTGGTCAGCTTTCCCCGCAGAGGCCCTAAGGCCAGGTGAGACACAGGCAGGGTGGACCCTGAACGGTCCCCACTCCTCGGACCCCAAGGTCTGCTGGGAAGGAGCTCAAAAAATGCAGCAGGCCTTTCGTTCTTCAATAAGTAAGGACTGAAGTCCTATGAAGGGCAGGCTTCCCCAGCTTGACAGAAATTAATGGCATCCCAGCCACCCCTGGAAATTTTAGTGGGGAACCCACGCCAGGGCACACACCAGCTAAGCCCCAGTGAGAGGCAGAAAGGAGCAGGATCCAGCAGGAGTCTAAAAGAATCTCCTTCCAGGGCCAAGGGGCAAGTTCTGCCCCGAAACCCCTCTCCCAGCCTCAAGGACTGACAGGCCCACCTCTGCAGGCGGGGGGGGGGGGCGAGAGAGCAAATCCCACGAAGCAGCACCCGTAGCAGGGCCTGGCACGCGGGCACCTCGTGGGGGGGCTTGCCATCACATGGTCAGGACTAAAGAACTTTAAGAACTACCCTCTGGTTGCTATGGCCACTGTTTACTGAACACTGGTTGTAGGTGTCAGGCGCGGTGCTGGGGACCCGGTGCTGGGGCTCTCTCCCTGAGCCCCTAAATCAGTCCATGGCACCCAGAACACCGCACCGCCAACGATGCCACCTTCCAGGTACACGAGCCAAAGCCCTGGGCACAGGCTTTCTCTCCTTGCCCTCAGCCCCCCGTCCAATCTCTCACCTCGGGGCTGCCCTGCCCCACCTTGCTCCCCACCTGGGTCCCCATGTCCCGCACCCCCTGCCTCCGCCAGGGCCAGGGCCAGGGTGAGGACAGGGGCGCTCACTTCAGGCGCCAAGCCTCAGGGGGTGTCAAAACACTCAGACATCAGAAAAATATTTCAATGCCATCTTTAAAAATCAAAATTAATGCAAAAAATACCCATGATGAACAAATTACCAAGAGTTGAAGCAAAGACCGGACCTGACCCTGCCTCACCCTAACCCCGGCCCTGTATTTACAAAGAAAAGCAGCCAGACCAATGCCACCGTTTGCTGATTTGAATTTTTTAAATATTGCATCAAAGCGTCACTTATCTGGACGATTGGGAGTGTTGGCACCGGAGGTAAGGGCCTCCCTCGCCTCACCCCCGCCCCCCGCGGCACCTGCCCGGGCTCAGCAGCCCCCACGCCCAGCCCTGTGTGGTCTCCCCTCTCAGTTCACACTCACACAACGGCCAGAGGGATCAGGTGACCCTTCCAAAAATACAAACCAGACCACGCCGGTCCTCTGCTTGGAGCCATCCTTGGCTCTGGTCGCTCTGAGAACAAAATCCAAACCTGGCCCAGCTCACTCACCCTCAGACCTCCCCGCCCAGCCTCCCCTGGCTCACGGAGCCACGGCCCGCCGGCTCCCCGACTGCACCTGTGGGCCGTGGGGGGTACGGGCATTGCTCTCTGTTGCTTTGTCCATATGGAACATTCTTCCCCTGGGCCCTCACAGGGCTGCACTGTTCGTGTCATTCAGGTCTCAGTTTAAATGCCACCTGCTCCAAGAGGCCCTCTCTGACCCCCTCACTATGTCGGCCTCACCTCTGTATCTATTAGATCTGATCTTTTTTACAACACACACAGCTCTCTTCTCTTTCCTGCTGTTTGCCGGGGTCTTTCCTGTCTCTAGATTGAAGCTACATGAGGGTATGTGGCATGTTTGGGGCACCACTATATTCTCAGTGCCCAACACAGGGCCTAGCACACAGTAGGTGCTCAACAACCACTTGCAGATGGACAGACGAATGGCGGAATGGGTGAACTAATGAATAAACTGACATCTCAAGTCTATGTTCTTTCAGCTACTCAGAACCCCAAACTACAGCCCCATCAGCTTATCTCCTGGGGTTTATCTACCTGGGCCCAGGTGCCCAGCTTGCGCTCCCTTCCCCGGAGCTTAGATGGCCTCAGCTCCCTGGGGGGACAAGGGGCAGCCACTGCTCCAGATAAAGGAGTGAGGTTAGCCAGGACACCAGGGACAGGTGACCGGTGGAGGTCCAGACCACAGGTGTTGGAATCAGACAGAGCAAGGTTACCATTCCTGGGCCCGTCCTGATTGGCTGTGTCATTTTCAGAAAGTCATGTCATCTTTCTGAGCCTTAGGTGGTCCTTACCTGTGAACTGTCTAGAAACAACTGTGTATAGGGTTCCCATAAATATAAAACAAGACAGAGACGACAGAGCAGTAGGGGAGCACAGGAGGTGCTTGACATCAGGAGGCGCCAGGACTGTGGAATGCGCGCCCCCCACGCCCCGCCCACATCCAAGCCGGCTTCTGCCTGGCTCCAGCCTGCAAAGGATCCAACCCACAAAGTGCTGCTCAGCTACTTGGGCATATTCTGGCCCATCTTCTGGGCTGGAGCCACGCCATCAACAATGAGATCATTGCTATTTGTTAGCTCAAAATAATGGAATTTTCCATTCACTTGACCCAATGAGTGCCTCTACCCCCATGTTTTTGGTGAGAAAGCTGACTCCTAAGGCGATAAAAAGGCTGGACCAGCTCCCTCAGGAAGCAGCCAAGGAGCCGGATCTGGATGGAGCCAGGGCCTCTCCCACTGTGAATGCCGGTTCCCCCAGGAGGAGGCGAGCCCAGTGGCGCCTGCTCCACTCACCTGCAGGCTGAGGCCCCGGGAGGAGAAGGCGGGGGTGCAGCAGGCCAGGGTCGGGCACCAGAACGGGGCTTTACTCTTCTTGTCCTCGTCCGGACAGCGCCAGCCCGGCTGGTTCTCCTCTCCTGCAGCAAAAGGAAGGAGCTGGGTGAGGCTGGTCAGAGTTGGCGGCCCGGAGGGCAGTGAGCAGCCTGGGGGACACCCAGCAGGCCCCAGGGACCCGGACTGCACGTCGGCAGAGCCACACCCCCCCCAGCCCTACTCTTGCCCATCTGAGACGAAACCCGGCCCTGCCCTGTGGTCCCTGGCAAAAAGAGAGGACACCCTGGGTCTGAGTCCCAGCCTGACCGGCCTTTTGCTTAGCAACCTTGTGCAAATCACCCCAACTCCCTGAGCCTCAATTTCTTCACCTGTGAAATAGGAACAATAAAAATGCCTTCGGCCCCCGGTTGTTGTGAGCATCCAATGAAATAAGAGGTGGGAAGGGGTGTCAAGGGGCGTTGAGAGGCTGAACTCAGCCCAGGCCCGGCTGCCTTGCCCTGACCTTCTAGAGAGGGGAGAAGGTCATAAACCAGCCAGCATGTGACGATGCAAGTTCAGGCTGCCTTTCTGCCTGGTGGTGACGGTGCTGGGACGGTGCTGGGACGGTACTGGGGACAGTGCCGGGGAAGGGCAAGGCCCATTCTCCTGCCTCCTTTGCAGCTACCCTGAAACCTCCAGGCCCCTGTCCAATTGGGTAGAGAAGCCCCCAGGGACCTGTCACCGGCACAGATGCCCAGGCCTGAGCCCAGGCCCTGGTCTCACACTCGGAGAACTCTGACCATCTGCTGAACCACCTTCTCTGCAGCAGCTCCTCCACTTGGGTCAGGGCTCCCTGGTGGGCTCCCACCTCCAGGAAGTCCTCCCTGACCACCCTGGCTGCAGTGGCCCTCTTCTCTCAGGGGGAAAGGCCTTGACCCTGTTTGGTTTCTCCCACAGCCTTCACCACTACCTAAAATCATTGTCTGCTTTCTTGTTTACAACCCGTCTCCAGCCACCTCTAGAACGTCAGTTTGAGGCAGAGGGATCAGGGGGATCTCATTCCCCACGGTCTCCCTAGCACCCTAAGCACTGCCTGCACGGAGTCAGAGCTCGGCGAACGTGAGTTAGAAGAATGAATGAAAGGAGTGGTCCAGTGAGCGGGCGAGCAGACCGCTATCTCTTCCAAAGAGTTCTCCCCGCTAAGGAGCCCATCCCAAAGCTCCCCATGACGACCGCCTTCCCAGGAGCCAGATGGCAGCGGCGAGGTGCAGCTAAAGTGCACCTACTATGTGTCCACATATCAGGCCCACACTGAGTTCGACACATGTGCCCTGGCTTTGTTTTCACAGTAACCAAGCACATTCCAAAAATGATTTTCACATTATGGATGATGAGGCGGACGTCATTCTAGATGGCCAAGCCCACCCAGGCACCGAGGTCTGTCTGAAACTCAAAGCCCAAGTTCTTTGTACTAAACCAGGCAGTCTCCCAGTCCCGAGCCCCTGGCCCCCAGCCCGCTACTGACAGCCATGGGCATGACTGACCCTGGACATGGTGACGCTGGACAACAAGCAGGCAAAAGCCAGAGATGCTGGGACACCTCAAGCGGGAGCGGCCACTTAACATCTAGTGTGAGTTACACACAACTACGTCCTCACAGCACGGCGCCCACAGCCATCAGTTCCGTATCATGTGCTCAAAACTGGACGGCAGGGTGGATGTTCTGTTCATGGTTCTTACCAGAAAAATTAGCAGACACACAGACAGGAGGGCCTCTGTGAAGGGGAGGGGTGTGTTACGGCCTGGACTGTGGTGATGGGTTCACACGAATCTCCACACTCACGGAGCTGTACGCATTCAATATGCACAATCACGGAATGCCGATCACGCCTCAATAAGGTGGATTTTTAAAAATGCCATTGCTACCAGAGAAAAGTGGCACCTGAGTGTCAGTCGCAGCGAGAGGAGCCAGAACAAGGTGGCAGGTATGGATGCTCTTTGAGAAGTTAAAGACATGGGCGAATGTCGGCCATTACCACTTGGGCAACACACGTGCATCCGCAAAGGCTCCAGAGCCTGGTGCGCCCAGTCCCGCCAGCAGTGGAGTCTCTGAGCGGTGAGCTCACCCCCTAAACGGACCCTCTGCCCCACTGGGCCCTGCAGACAAAGTCACATCAAACCTGGTGCCTTCCACTGAGGAGGAGAGGCCACCAGGGAAAGGACAAGGACAGCTACGGCACAGGACGGCATCGCCACACATTCTGCACTCCGCACGCAGCTCACAAAGCTGCCCCGCATGCTGTCTCCTTTCACCCTCATGGCTGCCAGGGTTCCGTGTCTCCACCCCATTCTGCCCTGAGCAAACAGGGGCCGAGGGAAGTCAAAGGCAGGGGGCAGGGGACACGGAACTGAGACACAGGAGCACTTCACACAGTGCGCGTCACGCGAAGCGATCGCGGAGACAGCCCACCGTCTGTGGGCAGCACCCGCCTCCTCTGCAGGACTAAAGATGGGCAAGACTTGAGTGTGTCCCTGCTCTCAAAAAGCTTATGGTCACGCAGCCCCTCGCCGCTGCCAGGCGGGGGCCCCGCAGAGCTCCCAGACCCCACCCCTTGCCAGGGGGCCTCCTGGAGCTCTGTCCATGAACACGGCTCCCCCGTCTCAACGTCACGTGCTGAGCTCCACTCCCCCCTCCCCCACAGCCCATTGAGTCCTAGAAATTTATTAGTATACGTTGCTGTAACGATCTGACCTTCTCCTTCCAGATGGCGCCTTCCCTGCCTGTGCCAGGGAACGTTAAAAGAAAATGGAGCTGGGCTGCCCGTCTGCCACTGCCATTGTCTCCGTCACAAAACCAGAGCGGCTGGGACCAAATTAGAAGGCTGCTGTTGCTGAACACAGAGGGCCCACTTGGGATAAGTGACATTAAGGACTGGCACCGACGGCAAAGCTGTGATTTCCAAATGACGTTAAGTGGGGGCTTATTTAGCACCCGGCTCCGCAGCACCCACTGAACACAAGGGTGCCTGTCCGTGGGGCAGCGGGGGCAGCTCAGGGCTGGGGACCCATCCCCTTCTGCTCCCAAACCTCCCAGCCCGCAGAACAGCCCTGCAGGCTGCAAGAAGCTGGCCCTGACCCAGGGGCCCTGGCAGATCCCAGCTCAGCCCCTGGCTCAGTGTGGCGCCGAGCTGGGCACTTCACCCCTCCGAGACTGCTGCCTCACCTGGAAAATGCAGGAGTAATTCCAACCACTCGGAGCTGTTGTGAGCACTGGAAAGAACAGATAGAACACCTGGCCTACCCTGGGCGCCCAAGAAAAGTACCCACTATGACCATGGTCCTGAAGGGTAAGAGCACTGCCCACTCCCACCCAGGACTATTAGGTGCTGCCCACGGGGCTGCCTCCCCAGCACCGCTGTCCTGTCCTGCTCCCCCAGCCCCGAGTGGCCTGCCATGCGCCTCCTGTGTTCAGCCACACCGTCCTGCCTTCTGTCACTCTGCCCCGTGGACAGCCCACTGCCCTTCTCTGCCTCCCCTCCCCCCATCCCAGCACAGACGCCAGGGCTGGCAGAGCCTCAGCACAGTCTTCCACAAACACCCCCCCCGCCCCGCCCTCCGCAGTCAGACACAGGAGGCCAGGGAAGTGGCCCTGGTCAGCCAGCAGGGATAAAACCCAAGTTTTGCCCCAAGGCCTCCTTGGCTCCTGCCCAGAGGGCAGACCCACTGCTTCCAGCCAAGGGCTTGGCCAGGTCCCAAGCTCAGGGTGGTTGAGGGGGGTCCGAGGACACAAAGGGGAGAGTGTGCACCTGGGCCGGGCTCAGACCTTCGTAACCGGACCACAGCCAGGAGGAGCAATGGCGTTGCTGCAAGGGCTGGGGGCTAGAAAAGCAGCCAGGTCAGAGGCAGCAGGAGAGGGACCCCAGGCTGCATTTGTGAGAACACGCCCCTGGGAGCGTGGGATCGGCCCCCACACAGCCCGGCCTGCCCAAGGGGTGAGGAACAGGAGGCCGTGGTAGGAGAGAAGCCAGCAGCCCAGGAAGCACCTTCTACCCACAGTCCTTCTCTGGAGCCCATACAAATGGGAAACTGATCGGCAGAGAGGTGGGAGGGTTTCCTGGCCCCGCTCTGCACTAAATCACGCATGACCTTAGGCGGTGCAGATGCAGACACTCCTGTGCTAGGAGCTCCTCCCATGGGCCAGCTGCTGGCCGTCCCAGACACCCCCCGTGCACCGTCTCCCCGCTCGCTCACTGGAGAGCTGTGGTGGGGGCACTGGCATCACCCCCACTTTCTGACGGCAAACCCCAGGCATCTAGAAGCCGCATCATTTCCCCAAGATCACAGACAGGTAAGCAGCAGAGCAGGGAACTGAACCAAGGCAGCCTGACTCCACTTCACGCGGTGCTAAGATCCCAAAACACAGCAAGGAAAGGTCTCTGGGAAGCCTGCCTTCCCCAGAACCACCCGGCATAGTGGTGGCCATGACGGGAGGTAAACCAGGTCCCCGGACTCGCCGGGTCCCCTGTCCTTCCAAGGGGCAGAACCGACGCCCCCGCCCAGATCCCAGCCCTCTCCTTTCTTAGTCTTCAGTGGGTTATGATCAGCATTGCAGTCAGGGAGAGAGTAAGATATAGAAAAACAAATTAAAGGAATAATGTCCTCTGTGAATAAATTTTTAAAATATATTCTAACCAGCTCCTGTTATTTTCCCCTCCCCACCAGGCACTGAAGATAAAAAAAAAAAACAAACTGGCAAAATAGAAGGAACAAATTATTCTTGCCCCAGGGGGACCCAGGCATTCAAATAAGATTTCAAATGACTGGCATGCCATTAAAACTTTTTGCTGCAGTGAAAACTTTCTGCTGCGTAGACAGAGGTTGGCTGGGCTTCACAGGCAGCTGAGAACTCAGATGCTCACATCAGTCCGCACCTCTCCCTCCAACACCAGGCTCCACTCAGCAAAGCACCTGGGGTTCCGGGGCTTAGGTGTCTTCCCAAGACTTGACCATTGCACAGGCGGGAGGGGAGCGTGGCGCCTGCGGCCCGGCAGGTGGGGAGCTGACCTAGCCTTTCCTCAGGCTAGAATTAATTCCCAGAGTCCTCTGCCAGGGCACGGAACGGCCTCTGCTTCAAATCCTTCCTCCACCCTCCTGGTCACCATGAAACATCCAGCGGAGGCCTGGCAACATCAGCACCAGATCCAAGAAGGGACTGGATGAGCAGAAGCCTCTGATCCTGGCTCCTCCGAAGCCACAGCCTCCTCCCCGTTCCCCCACCCCGACCTCCATGTGCCCTCTGTGCACAGCACCAGAATGATTCAAACAGAAGCCAGGCCACGCCACTGTCCAGCTCTCGGTGCTGCAACGAACAGCTCCCGTCACACCCCAAGTGAGCTCTATGCACATTGCCCTGGCTTTCTGGAAAACCTGCCCCAGCTTCCACCTGCCCAATTCACCGGCTCTGGCCACCTCAGGACCTTTGCACTTGCTGTTTTCAAGCCTGGGTTATTTTTCCCCAAATTGTGCATGGCTTCAGATGTCAGTGCCTCAGATGCCCTCCGTGACAGCATGCCCGGCCCCCGGGCTTGGTGCCAGTCATGTCACTCAGCACCGTACCCCTGGCAGTGCACCCCTCCCTGTAGATTTGCTCCTCATGTAAAGTCTCCCTGCCCCCCACTAAACTGTGTGTTCCGTGAGACCAGGGACCTTTCTGCGTTTGGCACAGCTCCTTTCCTGCAGCCTGTAACTACTGGAGAGACTCAATAAACAGTTTACTAATTGATGAAAGCCATTGAAGAAGGTCCCGACTTCTTTCCAGAAATGTCTCAGAACCTATTGGAAATACATACTTATCTATAAAAAGATCACAGCGGAAACAAGAACAAAAAAGAAATCGCCGCTATTGGCTGGAATCCGCAAATGAGAATTCCAGTCCCTCACAGGGAATGATAGCTCTGATCGGCAAGGACCTGGACCTTCTGTCAATTCACAAAAAGCACAAACAAAATTATAAATTAGTGAATGTGGTTTGACTGACAGACACTCGCCAACCCAAGGAAGCAGAATAGACAGGGATTGGGAGTGGGCCACACACAGGGAGCAACTGCCCCATGTCCACCCCTGCCTGCTGTGTGACATCAGGCGAGTCACCGTGCCTCTCGGGGTCTCAGGACCCTCAACTGTAAAAAGGGGCTCACGACAGCCCTACCTCGGAGGGTTACTATGAATGGGAAATGAAGGAAATGTGTAAAGTGCTTAGAAAAACGCGTGTACAAGGAAGCGCTCTGTGAATACAGATTTCCATCATTACCTCTATTTCACTAGGAGTTGCCTGGGAGAAAGAAAAAAAGCCCTAAAGAGATGCTTGGTTGAAAATCAGATTCAATGCTCTAACCAGCATCATCTTTTGGTAGCAGCTTTGCTGAGCTATAATTCAGCTACCACAGAAGCTATGTTTTTAAAGTGACACTTCACTGGTTTCTGGTATAGTAAGAGTTAGGCAACCATCATTCCAAAATTGAGAGCCTTTTTATCACTCCCACAAAAAAAAAAAAAAACACCCTTAGCAGTCTCTCTCCATTTCCCTGTCCCCCCAGGTCCCTGGCGACCACCGATACACCTCATGTCAACTCCCACTGTTTGACAGGCGGGGAGGCTGAGGCTTGGAGAGGGGAAGCGACCTGTCCAAGGTCACTAGCAGTGTCTCAGGACTCAGGACCCTTGCTCCAGCTGTTTCTCCACTACCTCCCCCCCAACTCAGGAGCCTCCTCCACCATGAGCCTGGGTGCCCCCCACGCACACCCAGACACACACCCCACAACTCCCCTCCTCTGAGCCTGCCGCCCGAGGTGCTCTCTTTGGGGCTTTACTCACGGAGTCCAATCTTGGCCAAGTGCAACCTGTTGACCCAGGAGATCTTGCTCAGGGGGTTGGGGGTAATAAAGACCACCATGAAGCTGATGGGGCGGCCGGACCTTTGGAGAGAAAGAGTGTGAGCGCTTGGAACAAGGGTCTGGCTCTCCCTGCACAAGCACCAGCTCTTCCCTCACCCCACGTGCCCCGGAGAAGGAGTGAGGTCTGCACAGAGCATCAAGTGTGGCCAGAGAGGCCCACGGCCCACCCTGCAAAGCCTCAGGCCCCTGGGGGAGGAGCCCCTGCACCCCCAGGGTCCCACCAGGCCACACTCCGGCCCAGCCCCAGGTGCCTCGGCCTGGGTGCCCAGCAAAGCCAGAGGTGTCTGGCCCTCTGTGGGCTGTGACTCGAGAGGCCCTGCCAGGGCTCCACGTGCCCAGCCTCCCATGGGCCTTGTCAGATGCCCGTGCGTGTCTGACCGGGAGCCTCCAAAAGGAGGAACACGTCTCCCTCGGGCCTGTGTCCAGCACCTGGCACAGCGCAGTGGCCTGGTAAATGTTTGCCAAAGGGACACGAGAGTGAATAAAGAAATGAATGAACAGGGTTGTGCACAGGCTTGGGGCAGCCAGAAGTCACTGCTGTCCCCACACTGCCCGTTCACCTTGGAGCATCGGGGGGCCCCTCAGTGTTTTGTGGGCCCTACTCCCCACCATGGGCCATCCCAGCCCCCAGGAGGCGAGCTGGACCAGTGTCACTAACCCTCTGTAGAGCAGGGGGTGGAAGGGGCACAGAGGAGGGAAGGGAGGCCACTCAGTAGGGCGGTGACAGACCTGGTTAGGGTTCCAGGTGCTGCCTCCCTGCCCCCACTCCCGAGCCTTGCCTCCTGGGCTCACGGCCCCACCTCAGACAGTCACACTCCGGCCTCCCCTTCCCTGTAGCCATTTTGCTTAAATCTCTGCCCCCCACCCAGAAGGTCAAAACCTGGCCTCCCAGCCCCTCACTGTGCCATCCTGAGCTTCACAGTCAGACCCCTGGGAACCCAGCTCTGCCTCTTACTGTGTGGCCGTGGACCTGGCACGTAACTCTCTGAGCCTCACCTTCCTCATCTGTAAAATGGGGTAATAACACCCGCCTCGCTGAGCTACGGAAAGACAGATACCTTCCCCCACCTCTGCCAGCCCGTCATCAATTCCACAAACAGCAGCTGAGGCACCACAAGCTGCTATGGGGGCGCTAGGGAACAGGTTAGGGAATGGGGCGGCACTGGGGGAGGCAGGAGGGTCCGTGGGAGGAGACCCAGGGCCTGGTCCCAGGGGACAGCACCGTCGGACGTAAATGCAAAGGACACAGCACAAATGGAACCAGCCAACAGCAGTGTCCCAGTGCCCTAGCAGGGGATGGCCTTGCCCCAGGCAGGAAAGGGGGCTCCTTCATTCATTCATTCACTCACTCATTAGTTCACTCACTCATTCGCTCACTTATTCACTCGCTCATTCACTCACTCAACTGGATGCACCTGCTCTGTACCCCATGCTGTGCAGGGCACAGCCTGCAGTGTGCACACATCCACTCCCATCACAGCGACACTGAGTAAGAGGGCAGCTCCAGGGGCTCCCTCCGAGCACCCCCACTTCACCGCAGGCCCCTCCGCCTCTCACTTGTCGGGTTTCCCAGGAAGCAGGAGCCTGAGGCGGCATTTATTGGCCGAGTGGATCTCCTCCTCCTTCACCCGCATCAGCCTCTGCAGGGCCAGGCACCAGTCTTGAGCCACAGTCATGTTCAGGTTCTAGGGTTAAGAAGGCCAATGAAGTCACCACACAGCCCACCAGCTCTCCAAAAGCCACCCCAGATTCTACGGCAGTCAGGGTGCCCCAGGGAGAGAAACTGGGGAGAAGCCATAGACAGGAAGCTCACTCAGTCACAGCAGGGGCCGACTCCCCTGAGCTCTGGGCTGCAGTGGGCTGCCCTTGCTTCAGACCCCACTCGGCACCCCTGCTTTGAGAGGGACACCCCCCCAGCCAGCTTCCTCTGCAGCCTGAGGCAAAGCCAGGAAGGGGCTGTAAGACTGACTGTGCAAAAAAAAAAAACAACAAAAATGCCCGGCAGCCGCGCCCCCCTCAACCAGAACCAGAGTTTCAGCCTGAACCAGGGGCCACACCCCAGACGTCTAGGCAGCGACAGGGGGTGTAACCCCTCCTGCTGCTTGCGGAAAACAGAGCCCAGGCCACGCCAGGGGGCAGGCCAGGAGAATAGCTCTCAGCTTTGCCTGCTGAGTCTGGGCACTGCCTGCAGGGAGGGGCCCGGAGCCCCCACGGGCAGGCCAGCGCTGCATACCTGGTAGGTGCCGTGCAGCGTGCTGACCAGGAGGGTGATCTGCTCCACCACGGCCAGGTCCTTCTGCAGGTCCTGCAGCTCCTGGAAGAGTCGCGGGGGGCCGAAGTACACCTTATCTGAGCAGAGGGAGACCCAAGTCAGCCTCGGGAGTAGGAAGATGCTCATGAGAACCCGAGCACCACTTGCTACCAGACAGGAGAGCTGTCGCCCTGGGGATGTGGCGCCAGAGACACAGGGATAAACGTGACCAGGCTCGTGTCTACTGGGGGACACAGATCCAATCACGGGAAAAGCCTAGCACCTGCAACCCAGGACACACTCGGTCTGTACAAAGGGCCACAGGAGACCAGAAGACTGAGAACCAACTGCGCCTGCAAGACATGGGAGCCTTCACGGAGCCAGGAGAGCGGTGGGCACCGCCGAGGAGAAGAACAGCAGGTGCAAAGGCACTGTGGCTTGAGGAAGCCCGTGAACAGTGAGTTGTTCAAAAACATCCTGGGGACCTACTATGTGCCAGATTCTATTCCAGGTGTTAGAGAGACAGCTGTGGACAAGACAGGCAGGGTCCCCACTCTTACTGCGCTTATGGCCTGGGAGAAGGAGCAGTCAACTGCAACCACAAACGGTGGCAGGTGCTGAGGAGAATGATATCAGAGCCAGGGGACAGCGATGGGGGTAAGGAAGCCCAGACGTCTGCTCAGCTGGACACGGATGGAGTCTCGGGGCCGTGGGAAGTGGGCAGCAAGAGGCAGGGCAGGGGGACCGGCAGGCCTGGATGGGGAAGTGCTTGAGCACCACGCCGGGGGTTCGGGCTGTCTTCGCTAGGTCACGGTTTCTCAAGCTGAGACCTTACGGAACCCCAGGAGGGCAGTTATTTGGGGTTGGCATTGAGCTCATTAAAAAAAACAGATGCACACCCTGAGTTGCCTGGATATAGTGACTTTAAAGCCACATTCCGTGGCACAGAGTCAGGGCTTCCATGGACTTCGGTCCCTCCTGAGCAGGGCGACTTGCTGGTCCCCAGGAAGGAGCAAGGAGCAAAGTGGACAGGGGCAGTGAGCGATGCTCATGACGAAAACAGAACAGGACCGGCTCTGCAGGGACCCCGACGCGTACACTGGCGGGAAACGCAGGCCACCACACGGCGCCCTGGGCTGTGGGCGCGGAGAACTCGGGAGAACCTGCCCCCTAGGAGGCCACTTCCACACTGTGAGCAGTTTGGTTCCAGCGAAACAACATCACCAGCATCACGAGAAATTAATGCTGTTCATTTGAATTTTATTGTTTTGTAGCTTCGTTTTTATCCCATTTGTGATTTTTGTTTTGGTTTTTATGGTTGTTCAAGGGGTATGAGCATAAGGCGTCTATTATACCTAGTCTTATATTTGCACATATTTGAATAACAGTATAATAAAAAAAGTCATTCACAGCCAACTGGAGTTCAACAAGAATTTCTATCTTCCCCCTTAAAGGGGGTCCTGAAATTACTCTTATTTCAGGAATGCGGCCACAGACAAACTGTCACTGAGGGAGGGTCCTAGAGGGAGGGTCCCAGAGTAAGGGCAGAGTGCAGGGGGGAGTGGAGGAGAGCCTGGGCGGGAGGTGCAGCCACGGCCCTCCCCGGGGAGGCTCCTGGGGACAGGCAGCCCTTGCTGCCTCACAGACCCGGGGAAAAGACGCCGCATCCAGACACGGACACAGCTGTCTGGCCCAGCCGCCCAAAGGCAAGGGTGATGCAATCACCCTCGATTTCCACAATTGCCAACAGCCCCATGAGACAACTTCCAGGGTCACATGACAGACAGAGAGCCGGGGAGAGGAGACCAAGCTGGACGGTGGGGAGAGGAAGTGTAGCCGAGCACCTCCCAGCCGAGCACCTCCTGGCCCAGCACTCCTCTCTGCTGGCCCTGCACTTCAGCGCCCTTCGTTCATTCAACAAACATTGTTCACACCACCTCGAACCGGCCTCAGGCAGGGCAACGGTCACGCCAAGGGGCCAAACATGGCCTTGAGAGCACTGGTGGGGTTGGGGAGGGGGATGGGACCTGGCCCAGTCCAAAGGAATTAGAAAAGGCTTCCAGGGGAAGGGCCCCCTGTGCTAGGATGAGCAAGGGCACGGGACCAAACAAGGCAGCAGGAGCCTGGCCGGAGGCAGGAGAAGGCCCTGGAGCAGGAGGGCGCTCCTCGACCCAGGAACCAAGAGGCCAGCGTGGCCATGCCCCGGGATCAAAGGGGCAGCGGAGTGGGTCGAGGAAGGGCAGTGGCACCTCCAGGAAGGGCACATGGCCCGAGTTAAAACCAGGAACTCATCCTGAGACCCGGGGAAGCCACGGGGACACATGACAAAGATATAGGCCACCGAGCATCACGTCCGAGGTGTCATTCTCCTCGCGTCCCAAAGAGTCTGAGGGGATGGCCGGGACAGGGGAAGGAGGAGCCAGGCCGGGCCGGGCAGCCCTGAGCCTGGTCCCTGAGGATGTGGGGGTGGGCTGAGTGTCACGGGGACCCTCACTGTCCAGAGGGACAAACTGCAGCACAGAGAGGAGGCAACACCTGCACACATCACCCAAGGAGGCAGGCAATGGCCAGGCAGGGACTGGAAATCACACTTTCTGGCCCCAAGGTCATTGCCTATTGCCTGTGCGTGCACAAGTGGGGGCACGAGGGTACATGGGGCTGGGGTGGGTTGGCCGCGTGACTGCAGGAAGTGCCTGTGCACCTGTGGGCAGCATGGGGCTGCCAACCAGCAAGAGCCTCTGGACCAAGCCGCCCACTGGCCTGGGGGCCCCAGACGGGCACTTGAGCCTGGGCAGACACTCCCTGGCAGCAGCCCGGCAGGTACTCACTCTGGGCCTGGCCCGAGGCAGAGGCCTTCTTGGCTCCAGCGTGCTGGATGAGCACGTTGTCCTTGTCGCAGGAGCCGCCCTCCTGGCCTGCCTCCACCACCTGCACCTGGGGCAGCGCCGTGTTCCACTTCACCACGTACTTGGGCCCCAGGGGCACCAGGCTGCTGATCTCCAGCTGGCCCCTGCCGGGACAAAGAGAGCGAGGCCTGTGAGCTGGCAGTACCCAGCCTCGGGGCCAGCCCAGAGCACGCTTCCCAGCACACCAGCTCGGCCAGGCACCTCACAGCCCAAGCACGGAAGCTCAGGCCAAAGCCAAGCCAGGCGGGGTGGGGAGCTGTGGGTGAGGCAGAAGCACCAGGCACCCAGGGCCCAGCCCCAGCCCCAGAATCACATGCCCCACAGCCCCTACCTGTGGTTGGCAGGCCTGAGGAAAAAGACAAGAAGGAGGGAAAGGCCGTCACTGTTACTGAGTCATTTCTACCGGGAATGAGACTGCTGGGGGCTGGGCACTGGGAGGGGTCGGGTGGGCAGAAGGGACCACACTGAGCACCTTCTTCCTGGGCTGGGCACAGGCTTTCTGTCACCTGTCCCCACAACGGCTCTGCTAGGAAGCTTGTGTAATGTGTTATTCTGGATGAGGACACCGTTGCTCAGACAGGTCACGCAACTCACCCCCAGCCACCCAAACGGACCCCAAAGTGGGCCAGCAGCATCCCCATCTCGCTTCCACGTCATGCTGGGCAGCCAGAGAGGGTGCGGGTCACATGTGGTGCCTGGGACACCAACAGGACCTCAAAACCACAGTGCGTGAGGGCCTGAGGGAGGGTGTGATCTGGGGCAGAGGCTGCCCCACTGGAGCTGCCAAGCAGGGCTGGGCCTTGTCCGAGCCCGTGAACGGGCAGAGTAAGGGCACAATAAATATCGGACAGACGAACAGTGTCCGAGTTCCCAAACAGCCCTGCCCACGGCTCCCCTTCCAGGGCCCGGGACCCACAACCACTGACGATCCCCAGCTCTGCACCGAGCCACGGTCCTGGCAGCGGGCGGGAACGCACAGCCCACTCCAGGGGTGGAGCCCACATCAGGCTCACGGGTGCCCGGACCCATCACGTGTTCTAGGCTGGGGCAGGAGTCAGGCTGGGATGGACGTTCGACCACAGGTGACTGCTTTGCCTCTCAGATCTGGGTCACGGTGGCCATACTGCTATTTTGTTGGGTTTTTAAAAGTGCTGTTAGTGACCAAGGCTGAGGTCTTCCTGCACAGGTGGGCAAAAAGCCCAGCTGGGAGGGGCCCACAGCCAAGCAAGGGATGCAGGCGAGTGTACCCGCCGGTGGGGACGGTGAAGAACAGCACACACAGCACGAGCCCCGTTAGAGGGGACACGTGACCCAGCTCCAGGCCTCTGCAGCCCCGGGCCATGTGGGCGATGAACAGGGTCTCTTGACATTTTCAAGAAAAGTCAATGTCTCTATCTCCATGTGAACTCTGTGTGAGTCGGAGGATTCCTGGAGGCCTAATGCAGCTCCGGTCTACAGAATCACCTCCACCCCATCCAGGGCTCCCACTCTTTCGGGCACAGCCTGGCAGCACAGCTCTGGGCATTCCTACGACCCCCTGGCTCAGAAGCAGGCTCCTGCGGAGGGAGACGCTCTGGGCCTCGGGGAGAGAGGCCCAGAGCCCTGCTGGGCAGCATGGGGACGCAGCCTGAGGGAAGCTACTGAACCAAAGCAGCTGCGATTCGGGCGGGACACGAGGAACAACCTCCTGAATTTCAAAGCAGTCAAAACTCAGGAGACTCCAGAGTCCCCAGACAGACCACACCGTACAGGGGACAGCTGTTTGCCCGGGGCTGGCGATGGCCGCCAGGGACCTCTCCAGGTGCCTCCTAGCTCTGGGGACTTGGAACAGAGCAGGCCAAGAGGGATGGGAGAGGAAGCCGGTACATCGCAGACAGAGTTCATTGAGACCCTGGCCCAGAGAGGCCAGGCCAGGGACGGGGACAGGACAGAAACGGGTCCCCGAGGAGGGGTGACAGCCCAGGCCCACTCACTTGAAGTTGATGTTGGCACAGACCAGCATGTCATTGAGCAGGAAGACCCTGCGCTCCTTAGACTTGATCAGCTGCCCACGGTCACCGTAGACGGTCTCTGTCAGCGTCTCACACAGCAGCAGCTGCCTCTGGCCCGAGGTCAACAGCTGGGGGAGGGGACAGAGCAAGGTCAACACCAACGAGCCCACGGGCTGTCACCCGAACATCCATGTGCCAAAGGCCCAGAATTTTCCAGCTACAGGGAGACCGAGGCTGGTAGAGGTGGAATAAGGCAGGGCCGTGCCCTCCACCTCCGGGGAGATGGGAGGCGCTGGGAGGTCCACGCACATGCTGGGTTCCTGGACCACCCACCCACCCTGCCCAGCAGCCAGCACCCTATCCTCAGGTGAGCCCATCCCTACGGCAATTCTGCGTGACCAGCACTACCAGGGGCACGGGCTCCCAAGTCACAGACATGTTCCCCACACCCTGGCTCCCCGAGCACCAGCTGTGACACCACTTCATCAGACAAGTGGGACAAACACTTCCACGGCTCAGGTCACCGGGCTAATTAATGCAGGAGCAGACCTGGCCTCATAACTCACCACATCCAGGGAAGGGTGAAATGCGGCCCTCGGTCAAAAGTTATTACGAATTTCAAGATGGCGGCAGCAGATCTTTAAACCCAGTGTGGGGCCCTTCTGAGCTCAGGCCCTGTGTGACAGCACAGCCCGGAGCTGACCCAGCATGTGGCACAGGGGGCCACTGCGCAGACTGCAGCTGTCCCCAGTGCTGCTGCGGGCAACTGAGCTCACCATGAGGAAGTGCGGCCTCACGCCGGCCGATGCCTGGCCTGGAAGGTGGACCTGTCCAAATGCCCTGACCTGCTGAACTGCCTCGGCGGCCAGTCTCGCCCCTTGGAAGGGCTCCCAATGGGGTTGGGCAGAACTGCTGGTCAGTGGGGCCACACTCTGAGGTAGCCAAGGCCCTCCAAGCCTCAGGCAACTCTGCAGGTGTTTGCCCATCTCAGGCTGGACACCAAGGACCCCCTTCCAGCATGGGGACTGCCATCCAACCCAGGGCCCCTCTGGGAAAACATCTTTTTACTGGCAGGGGTGTTCAGTGGTGGGGGTGGGGGCATGGTGTCAGCAAAATTCATTCCCAAAACCCGTCACTTTGAGGACCAGCATTACTCCCCCCTTCCTCCCCACCCTCCCTAGGATAAAGGCAGAGCCCCCCAGAGCCTCTCCTGGAAAGAACGCATGTCAGCCTCTAAAGACCCGTGTGTCTCACAACAACACAGACGTCCAAGCGGCACGAATCCCCACAGAGGGTTGGGCACTGTGCTCAGCACCAAATATTCCCCTCGTCGTCATCTCACTGACTCAGCAGTCCCAAGGCCACCCCGTCCCCAGAGGAGGGAACCGAGATTCCAGAGGTGAAGCGACTTGTCGAGACCCAGCTTGGACGAGGCCAGGCCACATGTGCTGTCCCCACAGGAGTCCGGGGAGGGCCCCACTGCTCCTAATACAAGAAGACTCGGGGTTCCCCGGGCTCCCCCCGCTAGCACCGAGCTCCTCCGTCCCACTACTTCTGCCAATGAGCTAACCACCTGCTCACGAACACACAACTGGGACTCAGACGACCGGGTCCCGTCGTGGAAGACTGCCAAGTGTGCCGTGACCCAAAACTTGGGAGAGGAAAGTCCCTGGGCTTCTGGAAACCATCTCCCTGCTCCTTCGGCAGATTTTTAAAAAAGAAGAAAAAAACCCAGATATTGCACAAACATCCCCGGGGAGGGTCCTGAGCAGGCACATTTTGAAAGAGCTGCAAGGTTCCGCTTGGGGCACACCCAGTTTCACTTCCACTGTCCCCTGGGTGGGGGGACGACAGGAGGACAATCACTGGCCTGGTCTCGGAGCTGGCTGAAGCTGCCCGAGGGGCCCTGACAGGGGGAAGGCCCATCCGTGGCCTCCACCCCACTTCTCACCACACACACACACACACACACACACACACACACACACACACACACACACGAACGCGCCCCCTGCTGGACAGGTGGAGAAACAGGCTCAGCCTTCAGTTCTCTTCCCCACCTCTAGCCATTGACTGCCGCCCACTCCTTACCACCCTGGTCCCCATGGGGGACGGATGGCTCTTCCCAGAGCAAGTGCTCTCTGTGGAAAGGACCTTCCTTCTCCTGATCACCTCTCTCCACTGCAGCCGCACAGGTGTGTGAGCGGAGGCAGGAGAAAGCCTCCAGCTTACAGAAAAGGAGCTATACGAGAGGACAGAAGAAGACACTCCCAAGTGCAAAGACCATTAAATACCCGCACGGGTGGCCATGGCCAAGCTGAAGTCTTTTTCTTGAGAGATGTTTCAAAATAGAAGTCTTGTGTGTTACTAGCTGAGGGTATTCTGTCTGGAGGCAGGGAGGGGGCGAGGAATGACCCCAAGCCTTCACACCCACCTCGAGCAACACTGGATTCAGACATCCCCCCAGGAGGAGGCTCTGTCTTCTACCCCATCTTTTCCCATCGCTTTTCTCCAGGAACAGACAGAGCAAACCCACATGCCTGCTCAGGTGCCCACGCAGGCCAATAGGCCAGCAAGCCAGCTCTTCCCATCCTTCAGGAGGATCCACGGGTCTGAATTTCACATGACATCCCTGCTTTTGCAAAGTTGGCAACTGTTCTATTTCCTTACAAACTACCGTGTGGGCCCCAGAACACCCGTGCGGCCTGGATGTGGCCTGAGGTGGGAGAGTCGCAAGATGTAGGACCCCTGAAGCTTAGAATTGCAAGGGACCCTGCGGGTTGCCTTGTCCCAGCCTGGCTTTGCAGGCTGTGATAACGACCCAAACTGGCAACGCGCGTCAGACAGCATCACGTACTGTAAAGTGCGGTCCACGCTGGAAGGGCTGCTGTCTCCCTGGCAGTCCTTCCTGTGCTATTAGAAAATTCCACCCGTGTGGCTGACCTCTCACTGGCCTTAGTCACTGGCCTGAGTTCTGCTTTCAGGCCCACAGAGCCAGAAGGCTCCCAGGTTTCCCTCTGGAAGGTTCTGAATGACCCCACACAGCATCCCTTCCCTGAGTGACCCATGTGCTCACCGACATGCCCGGGCCTGGGTCTCCTCCCCCTGAGCCACCTCACACACCACCCCCCTCTAGTCAGTGAAAGGAGGCAGAGCCCAGGGTGCAGATCTGGGTACAGGTACATGGGCCCTGACCCGGGATCAAACCTCAGCCTTGTGGTGCATGGGACGACCCTCCAACCAACTGAGCCAACGGCCAGGGCCCTGGCTTTGTATTTCATAAACAGAAGTTTCTATGGGTTCATTTGAACATTTTTCAAGATTCTGGGGAGTAGAATATTCCTTAGTTGCAACCTCAAAACACAGCATGGATTTATCATCTTTCTTCTTTACAAATAACATGGATAATGACAAGAACCACCTTATACTAAGCACTCTGGGCCTGTGGCTTCGCCGACACCCTCATATGCCCCTGGGGGTCAGGCACCCTTGACTTCTCCTTTCAGTGGGAGCAAGGGAGGTTCAGAGAGGTTGCATGATCCCCCTGAGGCCACACAGTGAACACCAGGGGCAAAATCTGGATTCGAACCCAAACTCTGATTCCCAAGCCCACTTAGATAAGCACACTTCTGGGCTATCACTTCTGATACCTTTACTGGCAAGTACATGAATGAACAAAATGAGCTTTCATCTAAAGTAACATGGACAGTAGTAACTATGGGGGTCCAGTTGAGACTAATCCTCCAGGTAAGGTCTGTGGGCTCAGACGGAAGCAAGGAAGCCCCTCCCTCGGCAAATACTGCCCCCTAGTGGTGGCCACCAGGCAGGAGCCGCACCACAGGTAAGGGCACACACCTTGTTGAGGCTGCTGCGGTCGCTGACGCTCTTGGTCAGCTGCTGGATCTCCGCCACCTGGTCAGCCAGCCGCTTTTGCTCATTGAGCTTCTCAGCCAGCGTCTCCAGCTCCGTGAGGGCCAGCTGCAGCGAGAGCCTGTCCGGGTGGCCCCTGGGGGTATTCTTCAGCATGTCCTGCAGGGCCCAGAGAGAGCCAGGGCTGAGAACCCCCTCCTAGCAGGCCCTGCGCTGTCTGACTGGGGCGAAGCCTCAGCCCCCACACCCGCTGCGGAACACGACACAGAGCACGGCCTCAAGCAACAGCTAATGAATGGAAAAAAAAATAAATAACCGTGTGGACCGATCCCCGCGTCACCGATCCATGGAGTGCTGGCAGTCCTCCTCCCCAGCTGAGGGGGCAGGGCTCACCCCTGACAGAGGTGCTGTAAGCTCTGGGGACCCTGTGGTGAGGCGGGCGGCAGGGCTCCCCGAGAAGCCTGCAGTGGCCCAGGTCTGCTCACTCACTGAGCATCCCCTCCCTGCCCGGCACCCACAGGCCCTGGGATCCCACCTGCCTTCATTCCCTTCCCAAATCCTGGGCTCACCCACCACCAGCCACTTGGAATCCCATCCCAGGGAGGTAGAAAATACACTGCCCAATCTGACCAGCTCCACTCCAGGAGTGAAGAAAGACAGGGGCAGGGGCGCAGGTGAGGCCCTGCCCACAGTCCACAGAAGACGCAGGGGTTGCAGATAAGGGATGAGAAGCCCCTCCCCACAAGGCTCGCACCCTGCAGGCCAGTGAACCCCGGTGGTACCTGAAGCAGGAGGATGAACTGCGGGAACCTCTGGATGGGCTTCACCATCAGCCCATAGAGCGTGACGCGGTCGGGGCTACACACCTGCCGCCGCTGTTGGAGACGAGGTGCAATCACTCGCTGACCCTCTGCAGCGAGGCCCCAGCGCCGGGGGTGCAGATCTCCCCAGGCCCAGGAGATCGCCCCTGCACCTGCTCAGCCTCGGGCCTGAGAGAAGAGCCGGGGAGGGGACAGTCTCTGCTCCTGCTGCTGGGGCTCCCTGCCACCACGGGGGGTTCCCACACAGCCCCTCTCACCCTGGAGAAACCAGAGCAGTCCAGTTAAGGTCTCTGGACTAAAACCATAACTGGGAAGTTCAGCAATTCATCACAGAGGTCTGCTCTACTCTGTAAGGAGCCGAGATGACCATTCTCTCCACTTAAACTGAAGCAGCCGGGCCCAGGCCAGGATGAGGGGTGGGCACAGGGGTCTTACTGTGCTGCTTCTTGCATCTGTTTCCACCACTTCATCCACACAGCTGTCACCTAGATCCTGGCCCTCGTCCCTGGCAAGCCAGGCTGCTCCCTCAGCCTCTCCACTGGCCTCCGCTCCCGTCTGCCCTGGCCCTGGCCCTGCTCCCACCTCCCCCGGCCCAAACCTCTGCAGCAGCTCCCACTGCCTGAAATCCAACATCCTGCAGGTCCAGGACCACCCACACTGGATGCAGCTGCCTCAAGATGTTCCCTCCTAGGATGCCCCAGCAGGCACCCAGTGCTCCCAGGGTCCAACCAGATTCACCTGACCCCATCCTCCTGCCCCTGACCTTTGCCCCACCACCCCTGCACCTGTTATACCCCTCCCCCATCCCCATCTGTTACAACATCACCATCCCCGCCCCCAGGACCCATGTCAGATGCCCTCTTGGAGCGGGGCAGTGGCTTCCGCAGGGCCCCAGCTCCTGGCCCACCTGCACCCGCTACTAGGCACATGCTCCCTGCGAGGTAGGCTAGCCACATGATTTGCCTGATTATACGCCCAAGGAAATCGGGGGGAGCCTGGCCACAGCTCACAAGGCCTTTGGTCCTTTCACCTCTAATCACCCACATGAGCCCCAAGACACCCCTTTGAGAAACTCTCCTCGTCCTTTTACAAATACGGAAAAGGGACAGCCTGGCGACACCTGAGCTATACCTGGAGCCCCACCCAAGCCCATCAGAGGGACGGGCCCTAGCACTGCCAGGTCTCCTACGGCAGGCCCGCCACCCTGTCACCTGTCCTCAAGACCAGGCAGGCTCCCCTTCCCCCGGGCAAAGCCCGGATCCCGCCAGGCTGCCTGACACTGTAACTCCTCACCCTCCTGTTGGGGGGCAGGAGGAACCCACCATCTCCCCACAGGACTGGGGGTGCCCCAAAGGTAAAAGGAGGTGTCCAGGCCAAAGCGCTGTGGTACCCGAAACTGGGCTAAAACTCCCCCTCTCTCCTGAGCAGCCCTCCTGCCTGCCCACGGCCTGCGCCCCACCGAGAGGGGCCCCAGCCCACCGCCAGGCCCACCTTGAGGAACTCGAGGAAAGCGGGCTTGGTGAGACAGGCCTTCTTGATGATGGACATGGCAGTGGTGAAGTTGTTCACGTAGTCGCTGTACACGTCTAGCACCATGGACTTCGAGAACTGAAACAGGTGTGGGTGTGGCGAGAGGGTCACGTGGATTTGAGGCGGGCTCCGCACCCGCCACCCGCACTCGCTGTACCACGGCCGCGCTGGCGGCGCCCCCTTCGGGGTCTCAACGCACCTGGGGTTGGGACATGGGTCACCCGCTCAGACTCAGAGGGGCCACAGGGAGGAAGAGGTGGTGACAAGGTGGCCCTGGCCCACAGGTGAAGGGGGTGCAGGCAGGACACCCCTATTCTACATGCATTTCCTCACCACGCCCAGGAAAGGAAATGCCCCTGGGCCTCCTGCATCAAGGACAGGGCCCCTGACCCCAAGCCCACTGGACACACTGACCAGGGCGTCAGCTCTGATGAGCACTCAGGTTTTCTGTTCGCAGAACCCAATCATCTAAAACAGACCAAAGTGGGGGTCCACCAACATCACCCTCCTTTGCTCCATGAATCTCTCTGGGGCCCATAGATTTCAGTTTGAAAAACTGCTGGTTCAATGTGCCCCTCACTCCATGAAGGGGACCTGGGCCTGAGAGGACCCTGGAGCTACCGGCCACAGCAAAACAGCTGGGGCCAGGCCAGGCCTCCTGGAGCATGACCCGGCGCACTGCATAGGTGCCAGCACCCCGAGGCAGCCTCTGGGGGCCAAGGCATGGTCTGTTTGAGCATCACACACAGTGGTCACCTGGGAGAGCTTCAGGCCGCTGGTGGCTACCCATAGTGGCCAGTCTCCTGGAGGCCCCCAGCACCACGTCTACACACATCCCCAAGGGCACACTGGGCACTTGGAGGTGCCACCCCCAGCTTGGACCACAGGGTTGATTCAGGCCCTGCCACCCTCTGACCCCACTGACTTGGACAGGGTAACCAGGCAGAGGCTGGAGGTGGGCCCGAATGGCCTCAAGATCCGGTGGGCAGTGGTTTTCCCCTTGGTGGGCCAGGGAAAGAGAGTCTGGGGACACCCACCGAAGCCACGAAGAGGTCCCCGATCTTCTCGGTGGAGTCCCACTCGGCCACGCGGGAGGACAGGGCAATCTGGAACATGGAGTGGCAGTGCAGGATCTCCTTCACGCGGAAGAACACCACCTGGCACTTGCGGACGCTCAGCACCTTGGGCTCCATCTCCATCAGGGGGTTGCGGTAATCCTGTTGGGATTGAGCACAGGGGTGAGCACCCCACGGCCGGGCTGCGGCCCCTCACCCTCCCTGGACGAGGCCCAAGAGAACTCGGTGGGCCGTGGGTGGACCTTCGTATAGGGGGAGCATGTGTCCCTCATCCTCACTCACCTGTCTCCTAGGAGGACCTCCCTGCCCGTAACCCCCTGGCCCTTCTGTGCCCACCCGCAACCCACTCTGTAATTTATGTGTAAGGCTGGGTTGGGAGTAGCCTGCCCCCCTGAGGAGCTCCACGGAGTCAGCCCTGGGGCCAAGCTGGCCGAGCTGGGCTCTGACAGAGCAGTGGCGGTGACGTCCCAGCAGGCCCCCCTCCAGCCCCCAGACCTGGAGCCACAAGTTCCAACCAGCTTTGTCCGAAACACAGGGTGTCTTCATCGCCACCTGTCTGAGGTTGGAGCTCCCCTCTGCAGCTCCCGCCCTGGCCATTCCCTTCCCTGCTGGCCACAGCATCCCAGCGGGTTCATCTTTCAGGAATGCAAAGGACAGACCAGCTGGATAGGCCTTAATCAAGTCACATGACCATCCAGCAACCCCGGGCATCTGACAGAGAGAGGGGGTGCACCCTACTCCCCACCTCAGGGTACTCCAGGATGACAGGAAGACATGGCCCCGTCCCAGGGGTCTCTGAGAGTGGCAAGGAAGATACAGCCCCTTTCCTGCCCTGGCCTCTCCGGAACAGCCCTATTCCACAGAACTCCACCTTTGTTTCCGAAAACACAGTCCCCGTGTAAACACCAAGGGGGCCGTCCCCTTAAAACTGCCCACATTCCCCAAACACTCCTTGCAAAGTGTCCCTGTGGGGCCCTCCCTGCCCTTTACCCAGGGGCCCAGGGGCGTACCTGGAGTACCCGCTTCAAAGACTCCACGTAGCTGCCCTCACTCTGCACGATGGAGCCCAGGATGTGCCTCCGGACCACCTGCTCGGGCCAGAGAGCGAGGTCAGCGCCTGCACCAACCACGGCACAGAGCCAGAACCTGCTGGGTATGCTGAGCCCCAGGTGATGGGAAGAGGGGTCACAACGCCCCGAGGAGCCAATGACGGAGGGACCGAAGGGACCTGTCCCCCACAGAGCCCTAGGACAGTTGGGGCTTGGAGGGACGGCATTTCTTCCCAGGGCCCCTGAGCACCCCAGAGACACCCCTGCTCCCCAGGGCAGAACGGGGCAGGGGGCACTGGGGCTCGAGTCCTGGCCTCGGCTCACACACTTCCAGGGGTGGGGGAATCGCCACCTCTCCCCCAGGGGGACGGTGGCCTCCTCCATCTCTGAACAACTTTAGGAGAAAAGTCTTTCTTAGACGAAACTGAAATCCCAGCTCCCACCACCTGCGGATCCAATCCTTAACGGACCCACCCCCAGGTTATGGGCTGCCCCCGCACCCCACCCCCGCCCCTTTCCCAGCACCCTCCCTGTCTCTTCTCCCCTCGAATCGGTGGCCTGTCAGGCGTAGCCTGAGCAGCACCAGGTCAAGGACGTGTGACCTGCACCCCTTTCATCCGGATCCCAGGGTGGGGGGGGAGTTGCTGCACACGGGAATGACAGAGGCGTCTTTAACAATGCTATCTCCTGCCCCCACCCCTCTGGACATTCTGACTGAGGTACCACCTAGGTATCTGGGTTTCAAAGCTTTCCAGATGATTCTACTACGCAGCAAAGCCAAGGCAGAGCACCTATGTGAGAGGTGGCCCACGGGGAGCCTGTGCACCTGGGTCCAGGGCTGGGATGGTGACGGACCCTCACTCTGTCCCCACCGCCAGCCTGAGAGTGTCATTTCAGGCACCCAGTGCCACCCTCCCCGCTGCCCTCTGCCACCTCGCTCCCGCCTCCGGCTCCCCTTCTCATCTCTTCCCACTGCCCAGCCTGCAGCGGCCCAGGCCTGCCCGTGGCCCGCACAGCCCCATGACTGTGGGACGGGCCAGGCCGCTGCCCTTCAAGCTGTCCCACAGTTGGACACACTGTCATTGATCCCCTGGTGCCCACACTGTTCCCCAAGCAGAGTCCTCCACATCAGCGCACTGGCATTTGAGGCCAGGGCACTGGGCTGTGGGCCGTCCTGCCTGCTGTGAGGTGTTTCCCAGCATCCTCCGCCCTTATCCCCTGGATTCCAGTAGCATCGCTCAGTTGTGACAACCAAAGGCATCACCAGACATTGCCAAATGTCCCCTGGGACACAAAATCGCCTTGGTTGAAAGCCGCTGGCCCAGAGTAACCGATCTGGCCTGACCCAGGAAAGGCCAAGGCTTCTGAGCGGAGAGACCGGCCAGCTGCAGGGGCAGGGTGGGGCATCGCCATCTCACTGCCGTTCGGGGCTGGGCAGGAAACAGGAGTGAAGGAAGTGGGCAGGCGGAGTCCAAGATGAGAAGTGTGGCCACAGCTCCCTCACTTCTACAGGAGGCCACACATCAGGATTTCCTGCCCCCCAAAAGAATGACAAACCCCTTCACTGAGCCCGACCCGACCATGGCTTGCTCAGTGTTCTCACAACCAGAAGAAAGTGGGGGTCTGTGACCCCGCTTCGTGGCTGGGAAAACCCAGATTGGGAGGGAATCAAACGTGACCAGCCAAGATCCCAGAGCAAGGCCACCTGTCTCATGTGACACTGGGAAAAGGGAGACACTGCCCGAGAAGCCCCAGCTCAGAGCAGAAGTCCGTGGGAACTCTGATGCCCCAGCTTGACGCTAGGTGGACAGAGAGTGGGACTGGGCACCTCGCTCGCCTCCAGCACCCTGCCCTCCCTGAGCTGGACTAGTTCGCTACTTCTCAGCCCTTTTTTATTTGCAGTCCCTTTCATCAAACACCACCTTCATTGGAAGCGGTTAAGTCGGAGCTGCTCTGGCTGCAGGGGGGGTGTGGGAGGCAAAGCTCCAGAGGCGGGGGCCCCACCACCCAGGACAGTGGCGTGGAGCCCACGGCCGGGTTCAAGAAGTCCGTGCAGCCGGGTGAGAGGCAGCCCCAGGAGGCCCCAGCTGGGGTTCTGCCAAGAGCCCTCGATCATCGCTTCCCCTTCAAGATGCACAGCTTATGGCCCCAGGTAACAGGTTGGGGCCCCAACTGGGCCTTCCCCTGCAGACCCCCACCCCCCTGGTCCTCCCACAGACCTGCTGAGGGCTCAGGCCATCTGGCATGGGGCCCAGCTCCGGGGCCGGGGGCTTGATGTCCGTTACGCCAACCTCCAGGAGCCCCATGTCTTCCTCCTCCGAGTCACCTGGAAAATCAGATGGGCTGGTGACATGTGCCAGGCAAGGACAACACACCCTGCTCGGACCCCAGAAGCTGGGAACTGCCCTAGCCCAGGGTCCTGAGCAACGCCTGGGGCCACACAGGGTCAGAGCCCATCACTGCACCCACTGCCACATCCTTCTACAGCAGTCCTTACCTAAATAAACGTGAGGGAGGGAGGGGGGGACACAAAACACCGTGCGGTGCAGCCCAGCCCTCAGGATCCGCTCCGCCAGAGTCCCTGTCCCTGCCCTGCCCGGACCCGCCCACGCTGGCCTGGCGAGGGCCAGGCCGCCTCAGTGCCAGTCGCTGGGCACTAAAAATAGTTTTCTTCTGGCTGCCTACAATGGGGGAAAGAAAAGCCCCCCCAAAATGAGCTATTTGGCTTTGTGTTTTCACCTTTTAAAACACTGTGCAAACACGCGAAAGGGGAAAGTTCAGCTGGAGTCCTTAGGGTGACACGGGCATGGGTGGGGACGGGCCTCAGATGGAGGGCGCGGAGGGCCAGAGGCTCAGGCAGACAGAAAGGGGGAGGCCAGGCAGGGTGCAGGGGTCGGGCTGGCTGGCCTTGGCGGCCCAGCCCCCACAAGGGACGCAGGCACAGGGCGACGGGACCCCGCCACTCATGGCTCTGAAACTCCATGGCGGCGGCCATGGGCAGCAGGAAGTGGGTGCTGTGGGGGAGCTGGGAGGAAAGAGGAAGTGGTAGTGATCCCAGGGGCCGTGGGAACAGGGACACCCAGGCAGGCCCTTACCTGAGCAGGAGACAGAAGAGGAGGAGGAAGAGGGACAGCGAACGACAGCGTGGGGGTGGGGGTGGTGAACGCCCTCCGGCCTGGCCCACATGGTACCGGGGGCATCACTCCGCACCCACCCCAGCCACCGGCCCTGCGGCTTCCTCTTCCCCCATGAGCCACTGGGTAACATTCTTGGCTGGTGATTCGAGCCCTGCCACGGCTATTAATAACCCCTCTGGTGGGAGGGTCACTTCAGGAAAGGCTCTGGGCTAACGGGTCGAGTGGGGAGGGCCAGGGGAGAGCCCGCTGGTGGCCTGGCCGGCCTGGGGGTGGGGAGAACGGCCGGGAACAGCTCCCGGCCAGCCCGCCCGTCCACCCTGCCCTTTCTATGCCACTCCACTCCACTGGGAATGACCCCTGAGTCTGTTCCCTTCCTCATCAGGGGCCACGGGACCCCAAAGGCTCCCCCATCCAGTGCGTGCATCGGTGGGATGAACTGCTCAGGGTCACACAGCCAGGGGGCTGTAAAGCTGGGATCTGAATCCAGGACAGCAAGATTCAGTCCTGGCACCAGACACCCCCACTTAGTGTCGGCCCACCGAGAATAACGCTGGCCACACGGGAGCTGGGGGCCGGGCCAGGCTCTTTCCACGCGCTGCCTCGGCCACCCTCGCCACAGCCCCGAGACAGAGCCACATCAGCCCGCTGTCCGGATGGGCAAACCGGGGCACAAAGAGGGTAAAATACATAACTTTTCAAGAGGGCGCAGAGCTTCCTAGTTCTCCCTGGTTTGAACGCCCAGCCCAGCCCCGATCTCTCACTCCTTCCGTCCTGGCAGCCGGAGGAAGAGCCTCCTTCATCCCTTCCACACCCATGGGTCCCCAGGCCGGTCACCGAACCACTCTGTGCCTGTTCCCTCATCTCTGAGTGGGAGTGGGCCAGTCCTCAGCAGCTGTCTGGTGTTCATAGGCATTAAGGGAGGGGCTGCAAAGCTCTTAGGAGTGCCTGACACACCACAGATATTCGACGACTATGGACCACCAAGGAAGTCATTTCTGGACATCGCCTGCCGCCTGCCAGCCTTTGCGCATACCCACTCCTGCTCCCCCTTCTCCTGCTCTCAGCCCTCCCCTGGCCTTCCATTTCCACGCTGCACGCCCATTTTTCCCACATCACGCCATCGTGCCACCATGCCACCTGTCGTCTGCACTGACATTTCCTGTCTACACGCCTGACTCCTCCCCTGGGCCAGGTGTTCCTGGAGGGAATGCTGTTCCATGCATCTCAGCGCCCCTGCACCCAGCACAGGGCACGGCACTTAGTAGGTGCTCAGTTAACACTGGCTGGTAGAAAGACGGCGGATGGGTAGAGGCGGGAATGCACAGCAGCACTCAAAGGTGAGGCTAGCTGAGACACCCAGTGTGGGAGGCCGGAAGGCCAGCGGCAAGGCCACGACAGAGGGCAAGGGTAGGGATGCTGAAGGGAGAGGCCACGCCTCCACGAGAAGTAGGAAACAGGCTGAGACAGTGGCCGGACACTTGGGGCTCAGTCCCCAAGTGCCACAGTCGAAGGAGCCGACACCTGTGACCTCGCCCACCAGTCCCGCTGTCCAAGGACTAAAGGCCAACCCTCCTGCCAGCCCGGCCCACAGTGCCTCACCGAGGACGTCTTTCCTGTGCAGAAAGGACACTTTTCGCAGGACGGCGATCCTCGTCTTCTCCAGCCCATCCTTTGTCCCGCTCTTGGCCGCCTTCATGAACTGGGTCATCTGGGCAAAGGCAGAGGGACTCGTCAGAGAAGCTGAAGGAGGCCCTGGGACACCTGCCACCAAGAGCCACCAGCCCCGCCCAGGCCTCCAGGCCAGGGTCACGAACATCAAGCCCCCAGGCTCCATTCCCTCCCGTGGAGGTGGCAGCAGAGACCCAGAGGGACAGTGGGTGGTACAACACTGAGGCCTCCTGGGACAGGCAGGTGAGAAGGGGCATCTGTGCCCGGGGGGTCTCCCTGGGGGGACCCTCTTCATGGGCAAGGGGGGGTCCCAACTTGATGCTTTCCCTTTGGGACAAATTACAAGCACTTACTCCCAACAAATTAAGGAGAAGGTGCCCCGCATGGGGTAAGGCTCGAGGCCTGGAGTCCTAGCCTGGGTTTAAATCCCAGCTCCTCCACTCCCCAGGAACAGGACTCGGGACGAGCCTTAACCTCAGGGAGCCTCAGTTTCTCACTGAGACTCATCAGCGTCTGTGAGGACAAAAGAGCCAGGGCCTGGGAAGGCGCACTGAATGCAAAAACGAGCTGCACAAGCGTCGGTGGTTACGTAAGGTCACACCGCCACCCCATCGGCTGGGCGAGAAAGCCCGTCCCTTGCCCCCCACACAGCCAGGTTTCTTACTGAGCCCCTGTCCGGGAAAGGAGAGAAGGCTGAAGTTGCCACAGAGCAGGGCAGGGCTTCCCCTGGGCGGGGAGGGCCCCACGGACACAGGGAAAGCAAGCTAAGCAGAACTCGGGGCACAGGAGGAGGCGTGCCCAGGAGGGGGAGCGGGCACCCTGGGTGCTGGAGGAGCCCCGGGCCTGCAGACAGAGCTGCTGTCCCCTGACTCATTCTTTGGTCCCCTCGGCACCCCGCCCAGCCCTGGCATCTTCCCCAGCGAACAGCCAGCGCCGCCAGAGAGAAGTCTCCCCAAGGACGGAGAGGCTAGCTCTCCAGGCTGCATGGCTGCCACTAGCTAAATTCGACTACCGAACACGTGGAAAGTGGCTGATGCAGCTGAGGACCTAAACTCCTGAATACAGTTCATCGTAATTCATTCAAGTTTAAATAACCACGTGACTATCACAATGGACAGTGTGGTTTTCAGAAAACCCTCTCCTTCCTAAAGCTCTCTGCTGAAGACAGGGAGCACTCGTCTGGGGGGGGGGGTCCCTGGTCTCTGCTCTACCACCTTCCCGCAGACACCCCCTGGGTCCCCAGCATAATGGTCGGGGAACTTCGTGCAAGTCTGGGAAAGGAAGTCGTGCTGAAAACCCAGTGGGTGCTGAGGCCGGGGCAGGGTGCAGGGCGGTGGCTTTTCAGGAACCGGGCCAACTTCCTAGAAACAACCAACAGCGGGGAAGGGAAGGCCCCAGACCCTCCCCACATCAACAGCGACAATTCCAGAGGGGAGATTCCTGGCCTTTGGGGCAGGGAGGATCAGCAACACCTTTGAGAACTAACAAGAGCTGACCACCAGCTCTTGTCCCCATCTGGACACAGATGCTGACCCCAACACTGCACAAAGATGCTCATCCTCTTCTGGGGGGGGTCACCCGCCCCCAGATGGCAAACCTCTGTCCAGGGGCCCAGTTCCTGTCCCGCAGAGAGCCGTTGGGGGGCGCTGTCTAGACACCGCCGAAGAGGTCTTTGGGGGAAACACCCAAAGCCCTTCTGTGGCATGTTCATGGGCCAAAACAGAACAGGTAAACACCCCGAAGGCGTCCCTGAGTGAACCTGCCACCCCCATTCATCTTCACAGTATGGAGGCCAAGGTCAGGAAAAGCACCCTGGTCTTGGCCTCTTGTCCTTCACGTGTTCCCTGCTCCTCTCTGGGCCTCAGCTTTCTGAAAAGTTCAACCTGCCCTGCCCCCCAGGCCCCCAGGCCCGCAGGCCCCCAGGCCCCAGACCTCTAAGGGGATGGCCGGCTGTAAAAGGGCCCTGCGAACCAGAACGTGCCTCTTCTCCTCCTGGGGAGGCCCCGGGTTCTGATGAAAGGGTCAGTGCTGTAGGCTGGGGAATTCACTTTGACCCGCCTGAGCCCAGGTCTGAAGCCCGGCGGGGCCGCTGACAGGTGACACGACCCTTGCTGTCCTCCATCACTTATGCCAAGTGACAGCAGTAAGGCGGCGCCTCCCAGGCCACCCTGGGAACAGAACAGTCAGGCACACGGACAGCAATGCCGCCATCCACTGAGCTCTCGGGTCGTGCACCCCGCAGCACTGAGCGCCTGACAGACCTGTGCGCCTCAAACCCCTACATCTGCCCTCGGGGCTGGTCCTGTTAAGGCCCCCAGTTCACAGGCAAGGAAACCGAGGTCAGAGAGGCCAAGGGACCTGCGAGGATCACACAGCAAGAAAGTGGTGGGACGGGGATTCAAACCCAGGCCTCTCTGGGCCTTCAAAGCCCGTGGCACATGGTAGGTGCTCAATTAATGCAAGCTACTGCCGCCAGCATCATCACCATCCAGGAATCTGAGGCCTGTCTGAGAAGAGGGTGCCTTGAATCTCTCCGAACAGCTAGGAGGGGGAGGGGCGTGCAATGTCCCCACCACTCACGTTTCTCAAACAGTAACCAAACCCATCCTCCACAGTAATTAAGTCCACAGGTTGGGGGGCCTTGGTCCAGACCTGCAGAACCCGCCTCTCTGGGGGTGGAGCTCAGGAGTCTGCATGCTTCAAAGCACCCCAGGGGATTCTGAGGGCCCTAAGTTTGAAAACCCACCCAAGGGACCCCCGTAGGTGGTTGTTGTCACTCAAGGATGGGGAGAGAGAGAGAGTTGAGAACATGGAAAGAAACCAGCCCGCTAATGCATGGACCAGTTCCGGCACAGATGGGAGAGGCGGCCAGTTCTGGGTCTCCGGGGCAGCCCAGGTCTCAGGCCCACCCTCTGTGGCCCCGGGACTTGGGAGGGACAGACAAACAATACCTTACAATCGTACTTGTGCTTCAGCTCCTGCATGTCTCTCCCCCCAACTCTTAAAGCCAAGATGTCTCTCTTAGTCCTGGCGTATCTCTCCTTTAGCCTAGTCAGGTCTGGAGAGAGCTGGAGCCCCCAAGCGGCCAAGCAGAAGGAGAGCAGGTGAGAGGAGCAGGCAGGCAGGACAGGGAGGAGACAAAACAGGGACAACAGAGGAAAAAGGAGACTCAGGTGAGGTGGCCGATGGATAATTGCGGAGGGGCCCCAGAAGCGGTCCAGCCAGGCTCCTGCCTGGCACGGCTCCAGCACTGCCCAACCCCAACGTGTCCGGAAGCTGGGGCGGGGCCTCTGCAGCAGGGAGCCCCCCTGCTGGGGAGGAGCGGTGGGAGGGGGACAGCCTGGGCCCCCTCTCAGGGAAAGGAAGCAATGCTGGGAGGACAAGGACTGTGTCTTTGTCATCTCCCCATCCCCGAGCTTGTGACACAAGAGGTCTTGGCAACTTTGCGACATGGATGGATGGCAGGCGGAGGGCTGAGCGGAATGGAGGACATGGGGATGGATGGAGGAGCGGGCGGATGCACAGAAAGATGGGCAAATGGGTGGAGGGGTGGCTGGGCGGGTGGAAACAGAGACAGATGGGCAGACGGACAGGGTCATGGATGGGTGGATGGGTAGACGAATGGACAGGCGAGCAAATGGACACATTTAGTTAGGTGGCTGTGTAACAGAGCAAAGGGCTGGACGGATGAACGACAATAAAACGAATGAAAAATACAAAAGGATGCATGGAGTGGGGGGTGGAAAGAGACAGCACTGTGCTGATAAATCTTTAACAACCAGTTCTCCAGGAAACGGCTCTGCTTTGTAGCATTTCCATGGTTCGAATGCTCCCACCCAGCCAATCTCATGCTACCAACCTGGAGAACTGAATGTGGAGCTGGACAGAGATGCAGGCAGTGAGTTCTTGGGTTCTGGCGAGCTAGGGCAAGCTGGCTGTGGTACACCACTGGAGGAAGGGGCAGGTAAACAGAGGGGAGGGTGGGAGGGAGGGGTAGACAACTGGATGTAAGGATGGATGGGTGACCAGCTTACACACTACCTAGAAAGGTGGGTGATGGACAGATGAACAGATAGGTGTTCAAATGCATGAAGCATACAAGCAACAGTGGTATTTGGTAAAGTACACAGAAGGCCAAGACAGGTGGGTCTCCTAGAGAAGCAGACGAGCAGAGAAATCAAGAGTACGACCTTCGGAAGGCAGGCGAGCCTGCGTTCACATCACCACTCCCTGCTTGTAGCTGGAAAAGTCTCTTCACCCCTCTGAGTTATAGCTTCCCCACTGGTGGACTGGCCATGAGGCCACCTACTTCACAGGGCTCTTGAGAAGATGAAATGGGCAATACACGTGAAGCCCAGAGCTACCATCATACTATCTTATGCAAATGGGTGCTCAATATCTGTTGAAGGGATGAATGGATGGGTAGATGGATGGGTGGGTGGATGGATGGATGGATGGATGGATGGATGGATGGATGGGTGGATGAATGGGTGGATGGGTGGGTGGATGGGTGGGTGGATGGGTGAATGGATGGATGGATGGATGGATGGATGGATGGATGGATGGATGGATGGATGGGCGGATGGGTGGGTGGATGGATAGGTGGGTGGGTGGATGGGTGGGCGGGTAGATGGGTGGATGGATGGGTGGGTGGATGGGTGGGTGGGTGGATGGGTGGGTGGGTGGATGGATGGGCGGGTGGATGGATGGGTGGGCGGGTGGATGGGTGGGTGGATGGGTGGGTGGATGGATGGGTGGGTGGGTGGATGGATGGGCGGATGGATGGATGGATGGATTGATGGATGGATGGATGGGCGGGTGGATGGATGGATGGATGGATGGGTGGGTGGATGGATGGGTGGGTGGATGGATGGGTGGGTGGGTGGGTGGGTGGGTGGGTGGATGGGTGGGTGGATGGATGGGTGGGTGGATGGATGGATGGATGGATGGATGGATGGATGGATGGATGGGCGGGTGGATGGGTGGATGGATGGATGGATGGATGGATGGATGGATGGATGGATGGGCGGATGGATGGATGGATGGATGGATGGATGGATGGATGGATGGGCGGATGGATGGATGGATGGATGGATGGATGGATGGATGGATGGATGGGTGGATGGATGGATGGATGGATTGATGGATGGATGGATGGGCGGGTGGATGGATGGATGGATGGATAGGTGGATGGATGGGTGGATGGATGGATGGGTGGGTGGATGGATGGGTGGGTGGGTGGGTGGGTGGGCGGGTAGATGGGTGGATGGATGGGTGGGTGGATGGGTGGGTGGGTGGATGGGTGGGTGGGTGGATGGGTGGGTGGGTGGATGGATGGATGGATGGATGGATGGATGGATGGATGGATGGGCGGGTGGATGGGTGGGTGGATGGATGGATGGATGGATGGATGGATGGATGGATGGATGGATGGGCGGGTGGATGGGTGGGTGGATGGGTGGGTGGATGGATGGGTGGGTGGATGGATGGGTGGGTGGATGGATGGATGGATGGATGGATGGATGGGCGGATGGATGGATGGATGGATGGATGGATGGATGGATGGATGGATGGGTGGGCGGATGGATGGATGGATGGGCGGGTAGATGGATGGATGGATGCATGGATGGATGGATGGATGGATGGATAGATGGATGGATGGGTGGGTGGATGGGTGGATGGGCGGGTGGATGGATGGATGGATGGATGGATGGGTAAATAAGGCATTTTCTTTCAAATTATATGTGATGAGATATGAGATATGGCTCTGTCACTAACTGGCTATGTGGCCCTGACCACATCATCTAACCTCTCTGAGACTCTGTCGCTCATTTCTCTGATGAATAAAATGAGACTCTTAATGCCAATAATACCGACCACTCTAGGGTACGACAAAAAATAAATGAAACTGCTTTGTAAGTCGGACCACACAGGTTTGTGATTGTTACACAAAGAAGTAACAGGGCAGAGATACTACACTGAGTTGCTCAGTGCTCCCCAAAGCTGGGGAGTACGAAATGTGTCCTGCATCCTGTTTTATCTGTAAATGACATTGAGGCAGTAAAATCATGAAGCCCGCGTGGGCCGTCCAATGCCCTCCACCTCTCTTAGGTCAGAAGAACCAGGAGCAGAAGGCATCTGCAGAACTGGCCAGATCAGAGCAGGGTGGCAAATAAGCCTGAGGTCAGAACTGGCTTTTCTGCCCTGTGCGCTGACCAGCTGGATCGCAGTGACTTTGCTTATGAGGAAGTCACCATCGGGAAGTGGAAAAGTTCACCCCACAGTGAACTTCTGGAATGCAGCCCACTCCATAACCAGGAGAAAGAAATAACTGCCACTGGCCAGGGGTGGCAGCCAGCAGGTACTTACTAACATAAGAGGATCGGGCTCCTGCTTACCCTGGGTCAGCAGCTTCCAAGGAGGTCCCGCTACAGACCCCTCTGTCACTTTCATCAGCAAAAATTCACCCCCTGAGAGCTGGCCCCTCAAGACGCCTGAAGGAGGAACCCACCAGTTCTCTCGCAGCTGGGCAGGATCCCAGTCCCCCACTCGGTGTCCAAGGACAGAACAAAACACTTCCCCAGGTCTCTGCTGCCCAGTGCCTCACAGCCACACAACCCAGAGCCCAGCAGCAGTGGCCCCGAAACACGCAGCCACTGCAGTGCCAGCTGCAGCAGCAGGTGTGTCCCAAGAAGTTTGGGGGACAGAGCACGGCAGGCAGAGTTCGGTGTGGGACAGCGGGCGGGGCGGGGGGGGGCGGTCCCAGACAGAGGTGGGTACCCGAGGAAGGGCCCCGGGGAGCCTGCAGTTCAGGGAGCGGGAGGGCCTTTCCCACAGCCCGAGAAAAAGTAGTTAGAAATGCCAAGAACTCTGCCCAATTGTTTATCTGCTGAGGAAGAGCCCAGAGCCCCAGCCTCAGGGTGTGCTGAGCTCAAGGCAGCAGCCAGAGGCCCCAGGTGGGGGCCAGCATAGCATTCTCAGAATGCTCCCTGGGCCCCTGGCATCCCCTGCGGGCAGAGCTCTGGTTAATAGGCAGATGGCCCTGCCACACCTGAACCAGAGTCCCTGGGAGAAGGAAACCCTGGCATCTGCCGTTTCAACTAGCTACTGTGACCCCAGTGCCCATGCATGTCTGAGGGCCACCACTAGAGGGCCCCAACTCAGCATCCTTCTGCCTCCTGAGCAATGAGAGGTACCTTTGGTGCCCTCCCCGTGCCCAGCAAAAAGGCAGGGGCTGGAACAGGGACTGTGGGGGTTTAGGAGGGACAACCAGAGGTGGAGAATAAGGGCTGGCCCAGGCATCATGTCTGCTTGCTCCCACTGACTCAGGGCAGGGCTCAGACCTACCCATCCTGCCCTCCCACAGAAAGGCTGCCCGGGGGACACGGGGGCTTTATAACTGAAGCCCCCTTTCTCTCCTAAAGCAGTGCAAGCTGCCCCTTTCTGAGGAAAGAGCAGGGACAGCCTGTTCCTGGGCTTCCACCTGGGCCATTCCTTCAGCCCAAGACCCCCGCCCATCCCCTCTGGCGTCTGCACCCACACTCCCAGCTCCACTCTCTTAGACCCTCCTCTGACCAGCCCCACCAGGTCCGGCCTGAGTTGGGCAGGCGGCCACAGGTACAGGGGCTCGTGTTTACAGGAAGGCTTGTGTCTTCATTTTTGACAAACTGCTTCATTTTCGGTACCCCTTCCTAGACCACAAAGGCTCCCCAAGCCTGGTTGGGCCTTTCCGGGCCCATGTACCCCAGCCCATACCCTAAGATGTGGACTGGCGACACAGTAGATGTCACAGATATTAACATTTTTGCTAGCAAAATGTCAAGGCCATCTTCGGAGGCCCAGCCCATGGAGGCCCAGCCACGAGAGGACCAGGGTTCAGGAGAGGCCTGCTCAGCTTCCCGGTTTCCCGAGGACTTGGGGAGCCCTTCTTGATCTGAGGAAAGTCTGTCTGAAGACTCTTTGGCTGGCACTCCTCTCCCAGAGGGGATCCCCTGCCTTGCCCCTGCCCCGCCTTCAGGCAGGACTGGCCAACAGGCGGAACTCACCTGCCTGTCTGTGTCTTTTCAAAAAAAAGCCCAAGGGGGACCCAGTCACCTCTGGTTGGTCAGGGCCTGCCTGTAAGAGGCTGCTCCCATTAAACCCCTGATCTCAGCAGGGACAGGATCTGCCTTCCAGGGGCTTCTATATAATAAATGGGATGAGTGAGGCTGGCACAGGAAAGGGGACCCAGCCAACGCATCTCCTCGAGTTCTCTGTGGCTCCCTCCCTGAGATCAGCAGAAGAAACCAAAGCCTCGACAGCATTTTGGCAGGCCGTGGGAAGAAGCGTTTCGGGCAGCTCTGCCTCAGCCACGGCAGCCCCCGCCTGCCCACCTCCCCCGGCAGAGACTGGAGGTCTCGGACTGGTCCAAGAACACAGGCCAGTGCAAGGCAGGAGGATCAAACTGATTTGGTCTAAGTGCCAACTATAATCAGCTGGCTAGGCTGCCTGGAGCCCTGTGTTGAGGCGGATTCTGAAGCCCGATCTGAGCACGTGAGCATTGCGGTCAATGCCGGGATCTGCCATAGACGGGCACCTGGCATGGACCACGCCTATCCCAGGGTTAGGGCTGCCCACAGCCAAACAGCAATGTCGGCAGGTTATCTCTTGTTTCAGGACGCCTGGGTCACCTCCTCTCTCACACATGCCTGAGCACCACTGGCTCTCACCACCCTCACCACTCCCCGAGGCAGTGCCCTGGCTGGAAGGGCACCCCAACTCCTCACCTTGGGCTGGAAGGACACTCTGTGCTTGGCAGGCTCTGCCTCCGGCTTGGCCTCCTCCCCTGAGTCCTCACTGTAGCTCTCAAACTCGCTGGAGCTCCAGCCTAGGTCCTCCGTCTCCCGGGGCACCCCGTCCCGGTGCACATCCTCGTAGAGCAGGTTTCTCTCTGCCCCTGTTGGCCAAGGGACAGGGCTGGTGAGCGGGGGCTCCGAGGCCAAGCCCACCAGACCCAGTCTGAGCCCTGGTGTGCCGCTGAGAGGGTGGGTAGGGGGGCGTGTGGTTTGGCCCTGGAGCTCCACCTCTGCTCCCTCGTCCACAAAACAGAGGTGACAGCAACACAACATCCACCCAGTAAAGTGAGGAGGATGCGAGAAAATGGAGAAAAGCACAAGCCTTGTGCCAGACGCACAACCAGGCTCAGTAACTTCCTCCCACTGTCAGCATTATTTCCTGGGCTCTGAGCGCCCCTCCTGGGCCTCCCAGGCATATTTTAAATTTATTGATTGATTTTTAGAGAAGGGTAAAGGAGAGAGAGAGAGAAACATCAATTTGTTGTGCCGCTTATTTACACATTCATTGGTTGATTCTGGTACGTGCCCTGACCAGGATCAAACCCACAACCCTGGCACATTAGGACGATGCTCTAACCAACTGAGCCACCCGGCCAGGGCTCCTATAAAGAGAAGGCCTAGGACTAAGTCGGGCCCTCAGCTCTGGCCTCAGCGTGCTGGGGGCAAAACAGAGATGGTCAGGCATCAAATGAGCCGACACCCTGACCCCAAACCTGAGTTTCCCGCAAGGGTCCAAGAGTATCCAGTAGGGGGCGCACCTGGTCCAGAGTCCAAAGCCCCACAGGAAATGCCTTAAACCAAAAGCTTGGGGACAAAGACCTGCTCCTGGGCTCTCCTGGTGCCACCTAGACAGACAGGTGCCACCAGGACCTGGGCACTCCTGGGATCTCTGTCAAGTCGGGTGCGAGGTGCTGCTTCCAGGCAGAGGTGCGAAGACACTGTCCCCGGACGGCAACACGGGGGGCCCGGCCCTACCCCAGCTCCACCACTGGGAGACCTCAGGCCTCACCTTCAGCCCCTGGGGATTCACTTGAGCCTGGTGCTTGCAGAACTGAACTGCACACCTCACAGAAGTGAGGCCAAGCTCCAAAACCTCTCCAAAAATGGGGGCAATGATAACAAGCTAAAAGGTGGCATAAATAAAACACACGCGTAAAGCTCCAGCAGACAGCAGCTGATCTTTACTCATGGGGGCCCTGGGTGGGCTTGGTGTCATCACGCTGGCCTCAAGACCCCACCTGCACCCCACAGGAAAGCTGGGGGGGGGGAGGGTCTGGAAGACTGTCAGCCAAAGAACAAAAGAGACGCACTGAGGCTTAGCCAGAGACTCAGGTCCCAGGATCAGGAGAGAGCATGAGGTTATTTTTAAGCAAAAGAATAATAGTGACTAATGTCTCCAGGGCGTGGAGCAGCTGGTGACTAGCCTGTGACCTTCACAGGGCTGGGTGGATGGTCCTATTACTGCAGTGGAAGGCCCACCAATTCTTGGGTCAGCAGGGTGCAAATGACCACCCCTCCTATGAGACAGAGGAGAAAACAGGACCCCAAAAGGTCCTGGGACTTGCCCAGGGTCAGGCAGCAAATGGGGAGGGGGCTGCAGACTTGTAGGCCGGGTTCCATCCATTCATCGCACAGCTTTCTGCCGAAGCCCTTCCATCCTGAGGACTACCCTGGGCTCATCTACAAAGACTCTCTCTGGTGGACACAGTGTCACCAGATGCCCCAGTCACTGGGGGCATCATGGTGGTCCTGGCCCCCGCCCTCCACTTCCTGGGGCCTCTGGTTTCACTGGAAGACTCAAGATCAAAGGCCCCTTGTCCTGGTGTGACCCTCCCCGAAGTCCGGCGAGGTCAGGATGGCATTCTGATTTTACGTGAAGAAACCAGACTCCTCCGCCCTAATCAGTGGCAGAGCCAAGACCTGAACCCAGGGCTGCGAGTGTCCACTGGCCTGCATGGTGGCTGACAACCTCCTCTCCCAGTGCCGCTGAGCCCACATCAGTCCACGCAGGCCTGTGCTGACGGGTGCAATGCTAACAGCGCCAGTGACCCCGTGTAGCGGACCTACAGGGGCCGGCCACAGCCTCGTCTTGCTCAGCCCTCCCACGGCCTTGCCCGTGGGGCCTCAGTCTGCAGGCTCAGTGCTGGGGCGCCAAGGCTGCTGCCACCTCAGGGTGAACTGCCGAGGGCAAGAGCATGCCCTGTCCCCACACCCTGGGGACACGACAGTGCTCAGGGCAGAATAGGGACCAAGTAGTTAGCTGCTTGACTTAATTCAGGTGGGAAAACAGCCCAAAGAGGTTAAACGCCTGGTCTCAGGCCCCAGGTCCCCTGGGTTGGGACGTTCCTGCAAGACCCCCGCCCTCCCTGTTCCGTGCGCCCTTTCCCGGCCTCTCCTGGGTTCAAGTGAACTACAAGCAGGGATGTCAAGCAACCTCCTGGGCTTGCAAAGGGAGGCGCCTGTCCTTGGCCCATCTGTCCCTGTTGCTGGGACAGGAGTCAGGAGTGTGGCTCTGGGGGCCCTCAGGTCTTGTCATGTCTGTCCGTCTTTCCCACTGGACCACACGTGGCCCCAGGATGGTGAAGCTCCTCAAAAGCAGGGGCTGTGTTTCCCCGACACGGGGAGCCCCCAAAAGCAGGCAAAATAGCGGTGGTGGGAAAAGCAGAGTCAGGCAGGTGCCGTAAAGCCCTGACTGTGCGATCTGGGGCTGGTGGCTTGACGTCACTGATGTGACTGTCAGCTGGGGAGCCATGAGCCCAGCCCTGCCAACCTCGTGAGGTTGATTGAACAGTGGGAGCAAATACACTTCGTCTGCCATAAGATATGGCCCACATAGTCCTGGGGTAGGGGACAGCACTGGACTTGAAGTCAGAATGGCCTGGGTTCGAATCCCTAGCCTGCCTCTGCAATTTCTTTGCAGAACGAGGACGTAATATATCCCAAATCAAAGATTCGAAACAGAGTACAGGAGACAAACATAAGCATTGCTGGCCTAATGTGTTCAAGCAAAGATGGACTGATGACAAATACTCCTCCCCCAGGATGAGTAAGCAGGGCCCAGCTCCAGCAGGGCTCACACCCCTCCACCAGGGTTCCTGCTGAGGCCACCGTCTCCCCGCCCTCCTGGCCCACTGAGGGCCTCACCCCAGAGCAAGGAGCAGGCTTCACCACTCAGCTTTAACCAGCTGTCCCTTACCCTGCAGGCCTGGGAAGCCCAGACTACTACCCTGGTGTCCTGAGGGAGGAATCCAGGTTTGGAGAGGAGAAAGGACTTGGAGGGTAGGGGCCCTCAGCCAGAGAGCCCCCAGGCCCGAGGCCCTAACCCCGCCCCCACCAGGCCCCGCCCCCACCCAGCCCCGCCCCCAGCCATCTCCAGAGTCTCCCTGGAGGACTACAAGCAGTTTTTAAAAGCAGGAAGGAGGGGCAATGGGCTGCGTGGGGAGGGAGGAAATGGAAGACGACCCTACCCAGTTCCCACCCCTCCCACCGCATCCCCAGAGAAGCGAGGAAGCGTGAAAGGAACCCTACCGGGTTGAAGCGCATCCAGGTTCTCACACGGGACGTCGTCGTAAATCACATCTTCTTCCAAGGCAGGGAAAGTGAACCGGTCGACTGGGAGCAGAGAAGGGGGAGGGAAAGAGCACGAATAAGGCTGCGGCGGCCCAGGCGGAGGCGGCGGCCAGACTGACATCAGGCTGCACCAGCTGGCAGCTCCCGGGCCAGCATCAGGCGGCCTGGGCCCTGGGGAGCGCCTGCCCCGCGGCTCTCCGAGGACACTGGTTCAGCTCCTTCTCCCCGCCCCCAGCCTCTCCAAGGCACCCTCCCAGCGACAGGGACAGACCCCACTTGCCTTCCTGCCACCCACAGGCCTGCCCATCTGGCTGACAGGCAGCTGCTGTGAGCACCTGCGGGAGCAGGAGGCAGACCCAGCACCTGGGGCCGGGAGCATCTTTCGTTGCCCAGGCCTCCAGCACTACCCTAGAAGGGGCCACCTCCCAGCCTGAGGCAGTGAAGGGCAAACCAGCTCTGGTGGGTAGTGGAAATAAGGGGAGGAGGCTGGATTTGGAGAGTGGGACTAAGAAGAGCCCCCCAAACTCAGCCAGCAGAGCCCTGATAGGTGAAGTCAGCAAATGAGCACAGTCCTCCCCACACATTTCACTGGGAGGTCAGTCAGCAGGGCAGGGCATGCACCTGGCCAGGTTAGCAGCCCCCTAGATACAGAATTCAAGGTCACCCCCCAAAACTGTGTGCCCACTCTCTGCTCTCTTTAGGGGCATAGGGCCCCTGCAGAGCAAGGGTTTTGAACGCCAGTCCCCACCCCTGATGGGAGCCTGTCCTCACCCCACGGCCCTCCAGAAAGGCATGGGACATGATAGCCTCTGAAGTCCCCGCCATTCTAACTGGGATGCTTCCAGCTGTCGCAGGGCCCCAGGGCCCTGTCGGAGCCTGGTCCTCCAACCACTTCCCCACTCCACGGACTCTACCTCCCCCATGGCTGCAGACCCACCCACCTCTGTCTGGCCATGGCCTCCCTCTCTGACCAGCCTCCTCACTGGGATGCAGCCCACCCCACCCTGTCTCTCCCGTCTCCTAGCTACGCCCCCACCCCACGGTGACTGAATTGAAATGCAAACGTGGCTGCCGCTGCAGCAGGCCTCTCCTGGCTCCCAGTTGCCTTCAAAAAAGGATGACCCCTGAGGCCCAGGAGGAGCAGAGAGATGGCAGCCCGGCCCATCGTCCCCGTGGTGCCTTGGTGCTCACTGATCCCCAGTGCCATGTGTCCCGTCTGCCTGGACACCCTTTCCCTGAGCCCCACTCCCTGGCTCTCTGCCTTCAGGATTCGTGGGTTCTCCCCGCTCCGCCACCTGCCCTCTCCGCCGTGACTGCCTGACTGTGTGCCTGGCCCTGCTCCCAGAGGAAACTCGTCTTGGTCACAGGGGGACACCCAGCAACTGTTGCGGAAGTCTCTGGGGAACCGGTAAACAGCTGAATGTGTGGTCCGCTCCTGGACCGAGGCTCTCAGGACAAATGGGGGCAACCATCAAGCATGGGCAGCGTCCTGTCCACCTCTGAACTGCCACCCAGCCCACCCAATGAGGACATGAGCTCGTGCGGGCCCATGTCAGCGCTCTCAGCCTAGAGTAAGGGACCCTGAAGTTATCCTGGCACCACTCTCCTGGGGCCGAGGCCTGGGGCGGGGCAGGGGACTTACTGCGACGGGAGCTCTTCTGCTTCCAACTGGAGCGCCGGACCCCAGGCACAGCTGTGTCCACAGCCTCTCCATTGCTCACCACGGCCAGCACCCTGTGGGCCGAGACGCAGTGCCAGTGAGCCAAAAGGGAGGGGGACAGAGCTTCTGATGGCAGGAGAGACAGATAAAGCCTGCTATCGAAGTCTCCAGCAACCCCTCAGCAGAACGGTGGCACTCGTGATGGGCAGGGGCAGGCTGAGGACAGGAGCCGTGGCCCCCAAGGCCATCAGTCAGGAAGCTGTGGAGGCTTTGGACAAGCCCCTTCCTCATCATTAGAAGGCACCACAGGCCAACCTGCTGCTTTAACTGCAGAAAGATCACATACAGCACGGCAGTCAAGGCCAAGTGCTCCCCAGGTACGGGCACCGGTCTTCCCTCTGACACAGGCTCCCTGGGAGCCTCCATCTCCCCCTTGTTCTCCCACAAAGAGTCGGAGACCAGGGCTGGGGGGGGGGGGGCCCGCCTCCTGGGAGAAATGAGGACTTGAAAAGGTTTGCAAAACCACGAGTGGAAGACACAGCTTAATCCCCCACACACCTGAGAACGGGCTGGACTCAGGCACTCGCTCCCCGGGAGCGGACGTGCCAAAGGACACAGTGGGATACAGCAGACCCCACCCAGACCAACCAATCATGCAACCATCTCCAGCGATGTCACCCAGGCACCACGGACCCCTGACGTGACGCAACATGAGAAGGACACCTCCTGTGCAGGCGTCCTCCCCGAGCCCATAACCCCAGTCCCACCAGGAGAAAAGTGCCAGACAAGCCCAGACGGGGGGACACTCTACAAAATACCTGCCCGTCACTGTTCAATGCCACCAAGACCATAAAAACCAAGAGGAACCTGAGAAACTGTCGCAGACCAGAGCAGGCTACATGACACCTACATGCAACCTGGGACCCTGGATGGGGTCCTGGAGCAGAAAAAGGACACGAGCAGAAACATGGGCGGAAATCAGATAAAGTCTGCAGTTTGGTGAACGGTCTCTTAGTTTTGACAAATGTTCCCTGGTCACGTAAGATGTTAACAATGAGAAAGCAGGGTGAGGGGGGTCGGCAGAACTCTGTGCGCTGTCAATACAACTTTCCTGTAAATCTGGGACTAGTCCAGTTGAAAGAGTGTGTGAGTGTGTGTGTGTGTGTGTGTGTGTGTGTGAGTTTTAAAGCCCACACTCAAAACACAAGGGCCACATCTGCCCATCCAGAGGGTAGAGACCTCCAACTGTCCAAGGCAGCAGCCACGGAGGTCAAAAATTGACTTGAACGCCCTGAGCCCTTAGTAGAGGATGGGGTACAGGGAGATGAAGCCCAGAACAGTGCAAGGAGGGAGGGAGGAGAATGAGCAACACTCCTGTGAGTGGGCCCTCGGCCTTCACCCTCCCTGCCGGCAGGCGGCAGGCAGAGGGACCCACCCAAGATCATGCCTGTGAGGGGCAGAGCCAGACTGTGGAGCCCGCTCACCTGACCCCGAAGCGGGGCTCTGACGACTGCGTCCCAGGTAACAGAGCCAGGTAACTGTGACCGTGGAAACGTCCATGTCTGCTGCCCCCTGAGCTTTGGCTGGCTGCTGGACACTTGGGATGTGGCTGGTGGGACTACTGTGACTAAGGAACTTAATTTTATTTTAAACAGCTCCATGTGGCTAGTGGCCACTGTACAGGACAATGCAGATCTAAGTCACCTATTGGAGAAGCCAAGCTCAGCTCCAGTTTCACAGCTAGAAGTCAGCAGTGCCACCCTGGGGCGTGGGACTCAGTCCCTGGGTAAAGCTTTCCACCGACAGGAAGTAAATGCCAAGAGGGGGCGGGGCTGGTCTGCACCAGGAGGGGCTGCTGGGATTCGAAGGAAGCCACCTGAGCCCCAACCCCTACCAGCTGCCTCCATGAGCCAGCAACTGCTCAAATGGGACACCGTGAAGGGGCTGGAGACAGCGGCTCCGAAACACCCAAACAGAACCCGACCGTACCAGCCGGGGCAGAGAGTCGGGCAGAGTTTGGTTGAAAGTTGCTTTGAGACATTAACTGTGACAACCAGTGACCATGACGACACGCCTGTGAGGTGCTGCTTGCTCTACTTTGCCTGTACAGGTTGGGCAAAAGCGGGTTTACAGCCGGAATGCTGTACAGGTAATACAATCATTAATTAATAATAACGAGAATAAACTCTGTTTTGCATACTCACAGATGTAAACCTGCTTTTGCCCACCCTGGTATTTCCATATTTCATTGCACAACAGCGCGTATTAGGTTTTATCAGTCTTGTGCCACAGATGGGGAAGCCAGGGCTCACGGCTAAGCCTGAACGACTTACCCAGCGTCACTCGGTGCCATCAGAGGAAGCTGGGACCCGAAGCCCAGGCTCTCTGCCGACAAAGTTTATGCCCTTTCAACCAGGAGTAGGGAACTTACATCTAAGTGTTGACCGAGGTCACGAATTTGTCGTGACATAAGGTCACTGCCCCTCGCTAAACTATTTAGCACTTTTTTTAAGGGACAAATAGCACTCAGCATAGAGTCAGAAACACAAGTTCAAGTCTTCGTCCAAAAGAAATCGTGATGGTTCTAGGTACTTTGGTGCTGGCCATTTTGCCACAAACATTTTCACCATCAAACTAACTAGCCGTAAGGCCATACTGCCGTAAAAAGGGATAAAATACAGTTGGTTTGTTGTTGTTGGTTTCCTTTCTCCACTGACAAATCAACCACCTTCAACAAACTAAAAATGTATTTGAGCCAGTTGTCAGTTGGCTTCATCTCTCCATTGACAAACTGACGGGAAAAACAGCAAAACAGCAGTGCCCTTCAAACAGTTTGCACTTCTCCCAGGTGACGACCCACCCACAGGTTGGCCGCTTATTTTGAAACTCGCCATGTCCGGAGGAGAGGAAAGGATGCACCAAGAGCCGCCTCGGAGGGCGCAGAGTGGAACCCGCATTTCCCACAGGACGAACCCAGGTGCTCAGATGTGACCGACAAAGTACAATCAGGTACTTGCACAGGACCACCATGAAGCTACACACCTTTTAGGTAGACTCAGATCTTTTGTGTTTCTCAGTAGCCTTTTTAATTCTGCTATTCCTTGCTTTATTATTTATTGATTTTAGAGAGAGAAACATCAATTTGTTGTTCTATTCACTGACACATTCATTGGTTGATCCTTGTACGTGCCCCACCCACTGATCGAACCTGCAATTTGGTGCAACAGAATGATGCTCTCAACCACCGAGCTACCCGGCCAGGGCCTGTTACTCATTTTCATATCCCTCCTTTGTTTGTCATGATTTTATCTCTTCTATGGGAAAATTACCTTATGGCCAATTTGTTATGTGGCAAAAATGCTCGTGGCAAAAATGTCCACGGCAGAGATCCTGCAACAAAAATACTGGACATGCCTTGTAACACTCAGCTGCCGGGCTGCAGTGCAGTTCAACTGGAGAAGGTCCTGGACAAGCTCTAAAGACGGCGTCAAGGGGCAGCGGGAGTGGGTGGGTATTTTTGGCTGAGGTCAGGCAGCTTTTGCAGAGACCTGGAAATACTTCATGACATAGGAAAATTCAGGGTGGGGCTGCAAACATGAGCCTCTGGGTTGCGCATAACCAGAACATGGTGCACTTAATTTTAACCAGCTTCACTTGAAATAGCCACCTGTGGCTCATGGCCATCGTACAAGACAGCACAGAGCTTAGCCGCCTGCACCATCGGAGAAGCTAGTCTGGGCTCACTCCATGCAGCGGCCAGCCCAGGTACCGGTCCCGGCTTCCTGGGCTGAGAAGTGGGGGTCCCACAGCACAGAAAAGTCACCCACTCACACTGCCTCCATGGTTGAGGCAAACAGAGACCCTGGGAGCTCCATGGGAGAGAAGAGACCAGTGCCTGTGGGTGGGCAGGTCTTCCTAGGGTGGCCAGAGACCACCACCCACCCCCGCCCTGCATTTTGCTGGCATCAACTTTGCACCCAGGCTGTGTTAAATCTCTGAACCAAGTGCATGTCTTATTACGACTATTTCACAAACAGGCAGGCCCCTAGACCCAGGCCACCTGGCCAGCAAGCGACAGAGCTGAAATTTGCCCGCAAAGGCTTGCTCCGACACAGGCTCTGCTGCCCCCAGTCTGGAGCTGCCAGGGCAGATGCGGACGGAGGAAAAGGCCTCCCAGGCAAGGGAGGGAAAGGGCCTGGTAAGAAGTGAGCCCCGGATGCCTCCTCCTTTCTCCCCCATCCAGCCAAGGCCACCAGCCCACCCTGCACTCACAGGGCAGGGGCAGGGAGCTATGGGCAGCCTCTCCCAGCAGCTGAGGGGCTGGGAAGTCTGATTCTCCCTATAAGCAAACACTCCATCTGGGGCCTCCCCAGGTAATAAAAGAGCCATAAAAAGCAATAAGAGGCCGATTAGCTCACCCTTATCAGAGCTTCCTGCTTGCTAAGGCTTGTACAGGAGAGAGGCCGCATCTAAGATGGCAGCAGACTGACAAGGTGGGGCCACCGCCCACCGGATATAAAGGAAAGGTGCCAAGTCTACGGAGAGGGACTGAGAATGAGAAGGTGGATGAAAAAGAGGCGGTGGGAGACAGACAAAAGGACATCTCCTGGGCACCCAGTGACAGGTTCACCGACCAGACCTCGGTTAAGTGCCCCAGAAGGCCACCGTGGCACCCTGGGCACTTTCTGTGCCCGCCTCCTGTGTCTGCAGGAACAAACCGGGGACAAGAAGGGAGTGAGCATCCTGTGACAGCGAGGACCTGCCCTGTCCTGGTGGCCCCATTCCGTCAGCCCTGGCCTACGGTGGACGCTCAGTGGCTGATGTTTCCCCGCCCCCGGCCTATTTTAAAGACAAGAGGCCGCACTGCTGCAGGAACAGGCCCCAGGTTCTCAGCAAATCTCCATGGCAGCAGATCCCACAGGGTCCCATCCCAGAGCCTAGAGAGCGAGGGTAGTCAAGGAGAAGCCCCCCAAACCCAGAACGGTCTGAGGATTCCTAGCTCGGCCCCACACCCAGGGCATTCCGGGGCCTTTTCCAGGACAAGGTATGACTAATGGGAAGGGGGGGAGTTCCA